GGGGAGGGTTTTGGTGGGGCGTCTTCTGAACAGAAGCCACAGTGAGACGTCAAAGTTCAAGCAAGCCTGGGGCACTTGTAAAGGCTTCTCCCCCACCCCCTGCCCCTCTCCGAAAAGGGTTCTCAAGTCCCTGGGGACCCGTTTTATGGACGCAGCCAAGTCTTAGAGTCTCAGGCGGCTTTCTTAGATGTCGTCTCCGGGGGTGGACATCAGCCCACATGGTTCGGGAGGCCCTTTTCCTGGCTCCACAGCAGATGCCTGTGCTCACTGGGAGGCGACATCTGACATCAACCAATGAGAAGAGACGTATGTGCCAGGAGGCCAGACCTCTGGGTTTGCTGGGCCGGGAGAATCCACTGTTCTGTCTCCCCACCGGTGGGCTCCCAGAGTCCGACAAGCCTGAGGAAGGGACAGCAGAGATCCCGGGAGGTGGGTAACTTTCCCAAATGCCCGCTGCTCCCGGGCACATGGGCAGCCCGGCTACTCCAGCGTTCCACCTCCACGCCTCCCGCAGCAGCCTAGAGGGGCCATCCAGGGGTACAGATCCCTCCTCTTCCTTAACCTCTGCAGCAAGTCTAAGGAAGTGACTGTGACAGTACGGAGGAAACGCTCTTCCATCTGCAGGAATGCCAGAAATAAACCATAGCACATTTGTGGGTTTTTCTTCAAGAAATTAAGTTTTTCTTTTTTAAAAAAAATTTTTTTAAAAAGAGTTTATTCATTTGTCTTTAGAGAGGAAGGGAAGGAGAGAGGGAGAGAAACATCAATGTATCGTTGCCCCTCGTGGGAACTGGCCCGCAACCCAGGCATGTGCCCTAGACTGGGATTTGAACCGCGATCCCTTGGTTCGCAGGCCACGCTCAATCCACTGAGCCACACCAGCCAGGGCTTTCTTTCTTTCTTTCTTTCTTTCTTTCTTTCTTTCTTTCTTTCTTTCTTTCTTTCTTTCTTTCTTTCTTTCTTTCTTTCTTTCTTTCTTTCTTTCTTTCTTTCTTTCTTTCTTTCTTTCTTTCTTTCCTTCCTTCCTTTCTTTCTTTTTTTTTTTTAAGTGGCTGTTTGTATTTCTCCACAAGTCAGTCAGTGCCAGTTTTAGATTTGACCAGCGGAACCGCTCCTGAGGTCAGAACCACGGGTGACTTCTCCTCTCTTTGTCAGAGGACCGACTGGCACAGATGTGACACTGGCTCGGGGAAGGGCGGCCCCTGCCAGGCCCGGGCCGCCCGCGCTGGTCCAGACACGCGCACCCTGCCCAGCACACAGGAAGGCCTTTCCCAGCTAGGTCCTCTCAAGCCCCCGAAATCCACTCCTGACAAACACACGAGACTGCCGGACAGGCACTGGGACGGGGTGTGGAGAGGTTAGTGCTGAGCGGGGAGATGGCCCATCTCTGCCGAAGCAGCGGTGGGAAGCAGTCGCTGCCTCTCCCTCTATCTGTTACCATCCCTCAGAGGACTCCCTACCTTTACCGACACCAGGAGATGGCAGAAGACAGAGCCAGGTGAGAAGGGAAAGATTTCTCCAGCCTTGCAACACGACTTCCTGAAAAGTGTCTCCGAACTCCACCTGCTGAGAAGGGGGGCGTAGGGATGTCAGGGAAGGGGGTTGGTGGCCGGTCTCTGTCCACCAGTGGCAGGAGCCGCCTGCTTAAAGGAAGCAGCCCCTCCCCCGAAATCACTGTGGATGCAGCGCCTCCCCGTCGCCCCGCGGCTCAGCGGTGCGCCCCTCTTCCCGCGCCCGAGTTCCGGCCTAAGCAGGGTCCCGAGACCCACGCAGGCCCTCTTTCCAAGCACCTACTCGAAAGGCACCCCCCCCCGTGGGGTCCCGTGTCGTACCTCGTGCGGGGACACACCTGAGGTAGGTCCCGCGTCCCGTGCGTCCGTGAAGTTGGGGATGCGGATGCTCCCCGGAGGGCCCGCTGCGGGGTCTGGTACCTGGGGGTGGCCGCCCCGCCATAGGCGCGCCTCGGACCCAGGGCTAGTTTCATAAGGGCGAGGAGCCCGCGCTCGTCTGGGACGCCCGCCGAGTCACCAGGCACCAGGCGGCGCTGGAGGAGCAGCGGGAGCAGAAGGCCGATAGCTGTTTCATTCAGGCGTCCGCCGGGACGCGGGACCCACCTTCCTCCTCCGAGGCAGCGGGCTGCGGCGGGAACCGGGCGTTCCAGGCCACTGCGGGCGCGGGCTCCCAGGTCTGGGTGCGGCTTGGCCCGGGTTTTTATAACCAAACTCCCGGTCCTCCGCTCTGGGCCGCCCCGGCGCGGGCAGGCGGGCCCACCCCGGACTGGTCAGGAGCCACCTTTGGCGCAGGCCGGCCCCTCCATGACACTCGCTGCTGCGCGGAGGGGCGCAGACGCGGAACACAGCGGGACAGAGCAAGCAACTGAGTGGGGGGCCCTTCTTGCCCTGCTCTTGCCCCCCGCGCGCCTCTCGCCCTCCCGAAGCCCACGCCCCACGCTCGGAGTCTCGAGCCCGGAGGGGCAGCTGGTGACGGCGCGGGCCCTGGAGGGGGCCGGGGGCTAGAGACCCGGGTTCTTTCCTGGTTCAGACAGGCTTGGGAGGAGTCCCTGACTCCCTCCCAGTGTGACCTGTGCATGCGACTTGACCTCCCAGAGTCTCGATGACCACTTCTGTCTAAAAAAAAAGAAACAAAACAAACAAACAAAAAAAACTTAAAAAAAAACACCATTATCTCCTTCACAAGATCGTTCATTCATGCATACTCCCTCCAATTCAGCAGTATTTATTGAAAGCCTACAATGTCTTAGGTGCTGGGACATAACAGTGAATAAATTAGACATGAACTTATATTTTAGTCTGAAAAGACAGACAATAAACATGAGAAGAATACATGGAAACCCTACAATTTCACTCCTAAGTATGTGTGTGCACCCAGAGACACCTGGTAGCATTCAGAGCAACACTATTTGTAAGAGCCCTAAACTGGATACAATCCAAACGTCTCTCAATAGTTAAATGAGATAAATCGTGGTACATTCACACAACGGTATATCCGTACAATGGAATATTGTTCAGCCATAAGTATTAATGACTGCTATATACTAAAGCCTGGAAACATTATTCTAAGTGATAGAAGCCATTCACAGAAGGCTACATAGTGTATACTTCCACTTATAATAAGTGTCCGGATTGGCAAACTTATAGAGACAGAAAGTAGATTGTTGGTTGCCTAGGGGAATGGCTGCTATGAGTATAGAGTTTCTTTTTGGGGAGATGAAAATGTTTAACATTAATTGTGGTTATGGTTGCGCAACTCCATATATGTAGCAAAAACCATGGAGTTGTACAATGTAAGTCAATGGATTATGTGATATGTGATTATATCTCAATAAAGTGGTCATATGTATATATGAAGTGTGTATCACATATATATGGTGTATCAGATGGTGTAAGTACTATGGGAAAAGGCGGGAAGGGGAGATAAGACTGGGGTTGAGGGGTGGAATTTTAAGCAGATCACTGCAGGGCTCACTGAGAAGGTGATGTGTGATCGAAGACACTCTAAAGGACATGAGGGGGTCAGGCCTCCTCCTAGACACTCTTCCAGGGGGACAGCGATCCAGAACCTGGGTTCGGATCTGGCCTTGTCACTACCCATATGTATGACCCGGGACAAGTGACTTAATGGCCCAGTGCCTCAGTTTTTTAATCTGTAAAACAGTTATTCCTATTTTCTATTAAAATGTCCAATAGTATCTATTTTAAAATGTGTTATAATGTGATTATAATGTGTCTTAAATTAATTTTAAAGAGGAAAGTAAAGCACTTAGAACAGTATACCGGAAATAAGTAAAATGCCTTTTAGTTACTTTTATTAGCTCCTCCTGCAATGCAAAAGCCTTTGCATTCGAAGGTAGAAGCCTGCCTGTAATGCCATGGATCCAGGAGATGAGGTGGGGCTGGTACAGGATACGGAGCGAGGGGGAAGATTGTAGCACTCGGGGAGAGGGCTCGTAACTTTTACTCTGTGAGATGGGAAATCATCGACAGGTTCCAAACAGAGAAAAGACACTACCTTGCTCATATTCTAACATTATCACTCTGGCTTCTGTGTTGAAACACAGAAGAGGGGGCAAGGATGTGGGCACAGAAAGTAGTCTCTGAGCTGTTGTGGTGATACAGGTGACAAATGGTGGTGGCGGCGAGAAGTTGTCAGATTCTGGTTCTCCTCTGAAGACAGAGGCAATGAGCTGGGCCTTGGCTCTGTGGCAGCAGAGAGAAAGACTGGGCATTGTGCATGAGAAAGAGACTGGTTTCGACCCTAGGAATTGCAGGAATTCGCCTTCCATTTATTGTGATGAGCTAAGTTTTTTGACGTTCGGTGGCGGGTAGGGGGTTAGAGATGGGGACTGATGGAGGGATGGAAATCAACCTTTCGGTTTGGGACATGAAAACTTGAAATGCCCATTACGCATCCAAATGGAGGGGTGTCTAGGAAAGAGGGTGACAAGAAAGAGTAAATGGATCATTCATTCTTTCGCAAATGTTTGTTGAAAGCCCACCCTGTTCCGGGTCCTATTCTGGGTCCCATTCTAGGTTTCGGAGATACATGAGAAAATGTCAACAAAAGCCCCTCACGACTTCACCTTGGTGAGAGGTCATAAACAAGTCGGCCATCAAGCGCAGTAATGTATGTGAAGTCTTTAGCTCTCCAGATGGCACAATGCGCAATTGCTATTGTGTTCTTCCCTTTTTCTTTTTTAATATTGGAGTACTGCAAGCGCCAGAAGATAAGGCTTGCGATAGGAATCCTTCCTTTTCCCAATCGGTGACATCCAGCCATCCCCACCTCAATACCAGCCAGATTTCTAGCGCAGCGCAATAGCAGCATTGCGCAGGCGCGGCCTCAGGCTGGCGTCCTAGGAGACAGACACCAAAAGCCTCTGCGCAGGCGTAATCGAAGAGGCTGGGGTAGTCACTGGCTGGGAGGGGTAATGGGCGGGGCGAACTTGGACTGCGTCTGCGCGCAGCGCACAGTCGCTGGAATAGCCGCAGTGTCCAGAGCGGCGAGGCGGCGTTTCGGTAATCGTTGGTCGGCCTCTCCAGCAAACCCAGCGTCGTAGGACTGCACCCTGGGCAGAGGCGCCCACCGGGCACCGCAGGGAGTCACGATGCCGGTGAGGAGAGTGGCTCAGGCGCTGTGGTTCATCCTCATTTCGGTGGCCTGGCCCGGGGGCGCGGCCGTTGCCATGGAGGCGCGGAGCAGGAGGGTGGCCGGGGATGGGTGGGGCGGGGCGGGGCAGGGCCCGGCCACGCTGCCCGTGTGTTGGGGAGCCGGACGGGTGGGCCAGTGGCGCCCGGGCATCCGGCTGGCCTTGGGAGGGACCCAGGGGAAGCCCCGCTGCCTTCCTCGCTGCTGCATCCTGCAGGGCCTGCGCTGCCTGACATGAAGGCGCTGTGCCAGAGGATGCGCCCTCTCTCGCAGCCCTTCGGGTCGGGCGTCTGGGAGCGGCGGTGGGGGGTCGGTTTTCGATTCTCCGCTCCCCGCAGGATCTCCACGCAGCGGAGCCACTGGAAGGCAGCAAAGCGGGGGCTGCCTACCCCTACTCCAGGCCCCCGACTCGAGCTGTCATTGCTCTGGTGGCGCCTTAGCATACAGTGCAAGAATGTAACCCGTAGGTGTCTTTGTGTGTGAGGAGGTCGGGAGCGGGTGCTGGTCTGTTTGTCTCGTAGGATTTCCAAGGTTGTTACCGTGCGTTTAGTAAGGGGGCGTCCGTAGTCCAGTGTGGGGGACATGGAGAACATCTGAGCCTTGGCCGGTTATTTGCTTGTTACAAGGCCTTGGACAATTATTTAATCTTTCTAGTTCTTTAGTTCCCACATAATTTAACTTTTCCTCTTGGGGCTGTTGTCAGGATGAAATAAGATACCGCTCAGGAGAATCGAAGGACAGTGACATTCAGTATTTGTTCCTTGTCGTTGCTTTCAAGTTGTCAATTCATTGGACAAATATTGGGCACCAGCCACATATTAGGCATCGGAGATTGAGCAAATCTCTATTTTGAGCAGTGTTGAGCAAAACCAGACTGGTTCTTAAACTTAGGAAGAAAGAAGCTTGCCTTCTTGGGCAGAGGTGAAAACCAGACATATTTACAGAGACAAGATGCTACATTAATGAAGTCATTAGGTGGGAAACAATAGATAGAAGTGGTTTCTGGTGAATTGTAAAGTGTTGCCATGTAGGAATGCCGGCCTACAGCTGTCAGATCACCCATTTTTTTTTTCAAGAAAATCTGAAATTGTTATTTTTTAATTTAAAAAAATTTTAGCAACTAATTCAGAAGATTTTTAAACATTATGAGCCAAACAAAAGACACTTGCGGGCTGAATTCAGCTCCTTGATTACCTCTTTGCAACCTCTGGTGTAGACAGAGAGAAAGACAGACGTTTAATGAAATAATGAGCAATCAAAAGTGGAATTACAACCAGATGTAGAAGAAGAAGGAGCAAGAAAGGTGCTCTCTGGGCCTCGTTTTGTTCTTTGCTTTATTGTGCCTCACAGTTGTTTTGATTTTTATTGTACAAACTGAAGGCAAGACCTTTCGTCAGCAAAAGCAGTATGACTCCCTCAGTTGCCATACTCACTTCTTTACATTGCTTGATGTATCATTGTGGTCTGGAAGCAAAGCTTACGTATCTCCAAGGTATGCCTGTGCTAGGAGCTGACCTACTCAGGGAAGTCTGCCCAGGTGAGGTCTGCAGAATAAATGAAGAGGAGAGTGAGGGATGCTCCAGGCAGAAGGAACAGCACATGGAAAGGCCTGTGGTGAGAAGGACCACGGTGATAAGAGAGGGCCCAGAAGAAAGCTGGTGCGTCTGTGGCTAAGAAAGCCCAGCAGGGCAACTTGTGAAGTGAGACAGGAGAAGTGGACATGGAACAGATCATCTTAAGGATTTTTTAAAAAAAGATCTTACTTGTTTACTTTTAGAGAGAGGGGGAGGGAGAGAGGGAGAGAAACATCTATAGGCGAGAGACACACTGGTCTGTAGCCTCAAGGTGGCTGGCAGCCCAGGCATGTGCCCTGACCAGGAATCAAACTGGCAACCCTAGTTTGTGGGACAGCACCCAGCCCACCGAGCCACACCAGTCAGGGCTGTATTCTTGATCACAGTTGTTAACTACATTCACAGGTATTTTCCCACAAGTAGGATACTCAGAGGAGGTCAGAGTTTTTTTTTTTCTTCATTATTTGTAAATATTTTCTCCACCAGATCAATAAATCAGAGAAGCCAGAAAGCTGTGATAATGTGAAGGTGGTTGTTAGGTGCCGGCCCCTCAATGAGAGAGAGAAATCCATGTGCTACAAACAGGCCGTCAGTGTGGATGAGATGAGGGGAACTATCACCGTGCACAAGACTGATTCTTCCAATGAGCCTCCGAAGACATTCACTTTTGATACAGTTTTTGGACCAGAGAGTAAACAGCTTGATGTCTATAACTTAACTGCAAGACCCATTATTGATTCTGTTCTTGAAGGCTACAATGGTGAGTACTTTGTGTAGCTCCCATTTTAAAAAAGAACATTATCAAGTTATTATTAGTACCTCATAAATTCATCCCTTGTAACTATAGTTTGATAAGATGTGTAAATACATAGAGTTGTGAAACTGTCGCCACAATTCACTGAATCACCCTAAAAGTTCCTTTAGGTCCATTCGCTGCCCCACCCCAAAACAGCCATTGATCTGCTGTCTGTTTATGGTTTTGACTTTCCTTAAAACTTCATGTCAGTCAGATCATACACTACCTCGTCTTTCTTATGTTTTCTTTCACTTAGCACAGTGTTTTTGAGGGTCATCCATGTCGTAGTGGCTATCAGCAGTTTGTTTCTTTTTAGTGCTGCATTGTACCCCATTGTGTCACTATACCACTGTTTATGATATTAGTTGGAAATCTGGATGTTCCCGTCCTTTGGCTGTTATAAATAATGCTGCTATGAGCATTCTCTTCAAGTCTTCGTACAGATAGCTTTTAGGGTTTCTCTCAGGTCCGGCAACCCAGGAGTGGGATAGCTGGATCACACAGTTAGTGCCTATCATTTGAAGGAACTGCCAAACTTTCCCGGGGGGTGACTGTGCTACCTCCCCCCACCACCAGCACCGGGTGAGAATCCCCAGTTTCCTCACATTCTCACTAGCGTTTGGATTATCAGTCCGTTTCATTGTAGCCACTCTAGAAGGTCTGTAGTGGCTCCTCATTGTTTTAACTTGTACTTCCCTAATGACTGACAGAGTTGAGTACGGCTCACCCTTGAACGGTGCAGGGGAGGGCTGCCGACCTCACACGGTCAAAACTCTGTGTACGACCATCACATATTTGCCATTCATGTATCTATCTTCTTTGGTAAAATAGCTCTTAAAATGCTGTGCCCATTTTTAAATTTGGTTGCTGGTCTTCTTGCTGAATGCTGCTCTTTGTATGTTCTAGATTCAGATATTTTGGAAGTATTTTCTCCCAGTCTGTGGCTTCATTCTCTTAATGGTGTGTTTTGAAGAGAAGTTTTGAATTTTGATTTAAGTCCAGTTTTTCCATTTTTTCTTTTATTGTCATGCTTTTGGTGACATGGTTAAGAAACTTTTACCAAAGCCAAGACCACAAAGATTCTCTCCTATTTTTTTAAAAATATTTTATTTATTTATATTTAGAGAGAGGGGAACGGAAGGAGAAATAGTGGGAGAGAAATATCAGTGTGTGGCTGCCTCTCGTGTGTCCCCTGCTGGGAACTGGCCTGCAACCCAGGCATGTGCCCTGTCTGGGAATCGAACCGCAATACTGTGGTTTGCAGGCCCGCGCTCAATCCACTGAGCTACGCCAGCCAGGGCTCTCCTATTTTTTAAATTTAAATTTTATTTTTCGATTACAGTTTGCGTTCAGTGTTATAGTAGTTTCAGACGCACAGCATAGTGGTCAGGTAATCCTGTACTTTACAAAGTGTTCCCTGGATATTTCTAGTACCCACATGGTACTATACATAGTTATTATAATATTATTGACTAAATTCCCTGTGCTGTACAAAATTTTATCACTTTTGGTAGGTAATAATGAGAATGTGTTAATAAAGTTATCCCCAAGTTACTCCTTTCGTTGCCTGCTAAAGAATTACAATATGTTTTTATAGTTGAAGATGCGGTATGGAATACATACCAAAACTCTTCCATTTTTAAGTGGGTAATAGGCTACATAAAACAATTTCTGTTTGAATGGAAGCCCTATTGAATATGCCAAGCTTACAGTGAATATTCGACAACATCTATTTATTCAGAAAACATTGTTTACTGTTCACGGTAGTTGGGGATACAGCACTAAAGCCCCGTCATCAAGAAGCTTAGGTTCTAATGGGGCAAATAATAAGATAAGTAAATTTTACTGTATGATAACTAATAAGTGCAAAAAGGAATGATAAAGAGGAATGGAGGATAGGAAGTTTTGGGAAGAGTTCAAAATTTCAGTCTGGGTGGCCAAGGACATTCTAAGAAAGAGCTGGAAGAGCAGAGCTCTGGGGAAAGGGAGGAACCCACCCCACTGTGTGGGCGGCAGAGAGGGGCACAGACTGTGCAGGGGAACCAGCAACAAGCACATATGTGCCTGGTGTGCTCTAGGGATGGGAAGAAGCAGAGGAGTTAGCTCAGGTGAGCGAATCCACCTGCGCTAGGTGAGGTCAGAGAGGTCAGCAGGCCCAGCAGCCCTTGTGGGTGTTGTCGGCCAGAGAAAGAGCCTTGGACCGGCCTTCTCTGTGCATGAGATTCTCCTCTTTTCTATCTAGAAGTTGTAAGCGTTTTAGGTTTCACATTAAGGTCTGCAATTCATTTGGAGTTCATTTTTATATGCAGTAGGAGTTAAGAGTCTAAGTTCTTTCCTTCCTTCTTTTTTCCCTTCTTGCCTGTCGATGTCCAGTGGTTCCTTTCCTTTGGAATTAACTGGGTGCCTTTGTGAAAATCAATGACCACAAGTGCGTGGGCTTATTTCTGGATTGTCTGTTGTATTCCATGTCTTTCCTGTGCCAATTACTGTGGCTTCATAATGTGTTTTGAAGTTAGGTAGTATATAGTCCCCAACTTTGTTATTCTTTTTCAAAGTTATTTTGGTTTTTCTGGGGTCCTTTGCATTTTCATATAAATTTTAGGATCACTAGGTCCATTTCCACTAAAAGAGCTTGGGATTTTGTGGAACTGTTATTCTGACAATGTTGAATCTTCCAATCCAGAAACATGATGTATTTATCTATTTATTATGCCTTGTTGAATTTGTCTCAGTATTATATAGTTTTAGTGTATAGATCTTTTACTTTTTGTAAATTTATTTTCAAGTAATTTTTATGCTTTTGTGAATAGAATTGTTTTTATAATTTCATTTTTGGAGCTATGTATTGTGAACCTACAGAAATGCAATTGATTCTTTTAGTATTTTTTTAAATTGAGATGTAATTTAAATAACATAAAATTCACTATTTCACCAATTTTGCAGTGTATAAGTTGGGTTTTTAGTACATTCGTATTGTGCAACAATCACCATTATCTGTTTCCAGAACATTTCCATAACCCACCCCCAGAAGAATCTTTGTACCTGTGTTAGTATTTATATCCACTTCTGCTCCCTTCCACTCTAGCAGCCTCTGATTTACTTTCTGTGTGTATGAGTTTGCCTGTTCTGGACATTTCATGTGAATAGAATCAAATACTATGTAGTCTTTTGTGTCTGGCTACTTAGCATAATATTTTCAGTGTTCATCCTTGGAGCTTGTATCAGTACTGCGTTCTTTTTTAGGGCAAAATAATATTTCATTGTATGGTTATAGTATGATTTGTTTATTCATTCATCAGCTGATAAACAATTTTTCTATTTTTGGCTATTATAAATAACATTACTATGAACATTCTTGTACAAATTTTTATGAGAACATATGTTTTCAGCTCTTTCAGGTGTGTACTGGGAGTGGAATTGCTGGGTCAAATGGTTAACAGCTATACTTTTCCACAGTGGCTGCACCATTTTTATATTCTTACCAGCAATGTGTGAGGTTTTTAATTTCTCCACATCTTTACCAAAACTTGTTATTATTTGTCTTTTTGATTATAGCCATCTTATGGGTGTGACGTGGTATCTCGTTGTGTTTTGCAGTTGATTTTTAAAAAGATTTTATTTATTTATTTATTTACTTACTTACTTACTTAGTTACTTATTTGTGAATTTCCTGCGATTTTCTACAGACAAGAGCATGTTACCTGCAAATACAGTTCAACTGATTTCTTTCTTTCCTATTCTTTTTTTTTAACCTGAATTGTATTGTAGTTTCATAATTTCTTTTTGTTACCTGAATTGCACTCACTAGAACCTCCAGTACAATGTTGCACAGAAGTGGTGAGAGTGGACATTTTTGTCTTGGTCCTGCTATCAGGGAGAAAGCATTTGTTGTTCTCCAGTCAGTACGATGTGATGTATAGGCTTTTCACAGACACCCTTTCTCAGGTTGAGGATGTTTCCCTCTGTGCTTTATTTGCTGAGACTGTGTTTCAAGAATACATTTTTTGTCAAAAGCAATTTTTCTGCACCTGTTGAAATGATCTTTCTTTGTTTTTAAGTTTGTTAATATGGTCAATTGCATTGATTGATTTTTCAATCAATCAATGCAAATGTGAAACAAGCCATGCCACTTGGTCGTGGTGTTATGTTGTATGTCGTTAGATTCGATTTCTAAAATTTTGTTTAAATTTTTTTCTATCTGTGTTCATGAGGGACATAAGTGTATAGTTTTCTCGTAATGTCTTTATATGGTTTTATTATCAGGACAGTACTAGTTTCATAGAAGAGTTGGAAAATATTCCCTCCTTTTTAATTATCTGGAAAAATATGCCTAGAGTTAGTATTATATCTCCCCTAAAAATTCACCAGTGAAGCCAACGGGGCCTGGAGCTTTTTTTTGGGGCAGGTGTGAACCTTAGTATGGGTTCATTTTCTTTAATAGACGTGTTCAATATGAGTGTATGGTTAGGTGTAGATCTGTCATCTCGCTAATTTTTGTTTGTCCCATTTGTTCTTTGTTCTCCTTTTCTTCTTTTCATGCCTTATTTTGGGTTAATCAAGTATTTTTATTCAAGTATCTTTATTATTCCACTCTATCTTTTCTATTGGCTTGTGGCAATATATCTTTGTTTATTTTAGTGGATGCTTTAGGGTTTATAGTACAGTCCTTACTATAACATGGTTTACCTTCAAGTAACACACAACTTTATGTGCAATATACAAATTTGACACTCCCTTTTCTCTCCTCCCAGGCTTCGTGCTACTGTTGTCATGTTTTACTTCTGCATGTTGTGAACTTCATACCACATTGTTACTATTTTTGTTTAAACCATAAGTTATCTTTCAGGGATTTAAATAATAAAATATCTTACATGCTTATATACCCCTTAGTTACCATTTCTGATACTCTTTGTTCTTTTATGTAGACTCGTATTTTCATCTAGGTCATTTTCCTTCTCCATTGCAAAACTTCCTTAAACATTTCTTAGCGTGGGGGTACGTGATGATGTGCTTAGTATGTTTTTCTTCATGTTTCTGTACTTACGGTTCATTAAGCTTCTTGCATCTGTGGATGTGTGGTTTTCACCATCACTGGAGAAATTTCAGGCATTATTTCTTAAACATTTTTTCTGTCCCCACTGTCCACCTTTTGTGGACATCAATGTATATAGTAGGCTGCTTAAAATTGTCCCACAGCTCAATGATTTAAAAAAGTTTTTTTTCTCTCTTTCATTTTTGATTGTTTTGGTTTGTATGCTTTCTCTGTGATCTGTTCTTTTGCGATGTCTGAGCTACCACTTACCCACTCCGTTGTAGTTTTCATCCCACACATTGTTGTTTTCATCTCTAGATGTTTGGTTTTGGTCTTCGTTGTCTCTTCTATGTAGAGTCTTCCGAACTTCCATCCACCGTTTCCACCGAACTGTCTGGCATATCGAATGTAACTTTTTGTAACTGTTTTAATGTCCTTGTCTGCTAATTCTAACATTTGTGTAAGTTCTGAGTTGGTTTTGATTGATTGATTGGTTTCTTCATTGCGAATCATATCGTTTTGTGTTGGGTTTTTTTTTGCAAGCTTGGCACTTTGTGGTTGAATGCCAGACAGTGTGAATTTTACCTTGGGTCTTGGATATTTTTTTATTCCTATAAATATTCATGAGCTTTGTCCTGGGATTCAGTTACTTTAGGATTACGAGGAAAATAACTACCATTTACTGGCCTCTACCAGGCATCCTGTTGAAACACTTTATGTCAAGAGAGAAAGCGTTTCATTTAGTTCTTACTATTAATGTAGGGCAGTTACATTGTTATCCCCACTTTGCCTTTGAGGGGACCATCTCTGGGTAGAAACATGTCCAAGGTCAAGTGGATAGAAAGAGGCAGCTCCGTGGGTTTACACTGAGGTCTTTCTGCTCTATAGCCTGTATTCTGTTGCTGTAATTACACTACCTTCTTCAGTTTAATGTCGATGTTAAGTAATTAATATGCACATTGCACAAAATGTTTTATAGTGATTTACAGTGTAAGATTTTGCATTTAGGGTTTGGGTTCTTTTCATTAATGATTAGGAATAGCTCCTTGACTCTAGTACTTTGTAGTGTGTGTGTTGCTCGTGTGGCACAGAGCACACAGTATAATTGTTGGAAATAAAGGTGAAGTGTGTGCAGGGATTCGGGGAGGGCATTGCACCGCAGTATCAAAGGAACTAGTTGTAAGAGCTGTTTTTCTGTAGCATTACACTCTAAAAGGAAATTGATTCTCTTCATTTCCAGGGACTATTTTTGCATATGGACAGACTGGAACAGGCAAAACCTTTACCATGGAAGGCGTTCGAGCTGTTCCCGAACTTAGAGGGATCATTCCAAACTCATTTGCTCACATATTCGGTCACATTGCCAAAGCAGAGGGCGACACAAGGTAAAAGGATTCTTTTATTTTTCTAATGTTAAGAAGTACAAACATAAGAAAGGCATATAGGTGCACATTTTATAAACGCATTTTAAAACTGTTCTTATAAAAATTTCACTGTTCTATGTTTTTAAAATGATGTGTTATTTATAGATTTTTGGTTCGAGTGTCGTATTTGGAAATCTACAATGAAGAAGTTCGTGACCTTTTGGGCAAGGATCAGACACAGAGGTTAGAGGTAAGGATAACTGAACTTGGAGTACTTTCCAAAGTGATGGAATGTCTCCTTTATAAATTAAGGTCCTTTTGGTACAAAAGGTACTTTTAATATTTCACTTATTGTTTGGCCAGGTAATATGATCACAGGGTTCAAAAAGAAAAATATTGTAAAATTCATGCATCAGTCTTGTTCCTAGGCATTTGCCCCATTTCTGCGCACCTAAAGATAATCACTTGCAGTGTTTCTGTGTAAGTACAAATACAATTTTACTTACACTCCAAAAGTAGCACACTGTGTCCATCCGTCTGCTTGTGGACTCACAGAAGGTGACGTGGAGCGATCACCATTTACGCAGACGGAGCCTTTACACAGTTCTCGCAGTGGCAACGTCTCACCAAGTAAGGTGCTGTGCCGCGTCATGACGCTATGCGGCGTCACAGCCAGGACGCCACAGCATGACGTCGCCAGGCCTGTCCCCTGTGCCCTCGTTTCTTCTGTGCTGCTCTGTGTTCGCACTGTTTCATCACCTGTGGGGTGGGGGGTCCACTGTCACGTCGAGGTGCCGCTGACACAGTGCCATCACCAAGGCGCCTTCTGTTGCTCTTTCGTAACCACATCCACCTCTCCTGTCCTCACCCCCATCCCCTGACAAGCCTGAATCTGCTTTCCAATTCTAAAATTTTGTCACTTCAGGAATGTTATAAAAATATAACCATACAATGTATAACATTTTGGGACTGGCCTTTTTCGTTTGGCCTAACTCCCTGGAGACTGGTCCAACTCGCTGAGTGTGTGTCTAGTGCACCCCTTTCCGTTGCTCAGTGGTAGGCTCGGCGCGCATCCGCACCAGGGTCGGTTTAACGCTCCCCTGGGGGGGGGCTCGATGGTCTGTGTGCAGGTTCCGGCTGTTACGAGTAAAGCACTGTGGACGTTCAGAGATTTTTAAGAGTACTCCTAAATTTAAGTCAGAAACTTTTAAAGCAGCAAAAATACAGGTATTAAGACTAATGAATGCAGTCACAAATACTGGTGTTTTCAGCCTTTCTTTTACCTGAAGGAAAAAACAAACTTTCTAACTGAGAAATTATAGTTTGTATAGTTTTGGGTAATGGATTGGCACCCAAAACTATTTTCCCTTAGAAAAAGGAAAGCGAGATTATATCCATTAATGCCAGATAATCTCAAAATTTGTTAATTGGTACATGATGCTATTAACTGACAAGTAATGCTGATTCACTTATATTGTTTTTTAAGTTGAGAAATAATTCACATAGCATCATAGTCACCCTTTTCAAGTGCACAGTTTAGTGGTTCTTAGTAGTTTCACAAAGTTGTACAGCCATCACTGCTGTCTAGTTCTAAAACATTGTCATTACCCCTAGAAGGAGCCCCACAACCCTTAGCTCTCACCCCACCCCCATTCTCCCCAGCCCTAGTCAATGATTAATCTGCTTTCTGCCTCTGTCGACTTGCCCGTTCTGGACACGCCGTGCGGAGGAATAGCACGATACGCGGTCCTTTGTGGTTAGCGTCTTTCACGTAGCGTTGTCATGTGTGGTCACCCTGCCGTGGCATCAGTGCTTCACTTCTCTTTGTTGCTGAATAATAATCCATTTTATGGATTCACCACATTTTATTGATTCCTTCGTCACTGGAACATTTGGGTTGTTTCCGCTTTTTGTCTACTTTGAATAATGCTGCTGTGACCATTCTTGTTTGAGGTTTTGTGTGAACACGTTTTCAGTTCTCTTGGTAAAACACCTGTCACTGGAATTGCTGATCATGTGGTAACACTGTTTTCAACGATGTGAAGAACTGCTTTCCACAGTGGCTGTACCGTTTACATTCCCATCGGCAGCGCACCCGGTTCCCGATTTCTCCGTATCCTTGTTGGCACTTTTTATTTCCTGGCCTTTATGACAGCCGTTGTAGTTGGTGCAAAGTGGTAGCTCGCTGTGAGCTTGGCTTCCGCTTCCCTGATGGCTAGTGATGCTGAGCACTTTCTCACGTTCTGACTGGTCACTTGCATGCCTTCTTTGGGGAAATGTCTGTTCAGACCCTTTGTCCACTTTAATTGGGTTGTTTTTGTGTTATTGAGCTGTAATAGTTCTTTATATAGTGTAGATCAAGTCCCTTATGAAGTCCTTTATCAGAAAATTTTGCAAAAATTTTGCAAAAATTTTCTCCCATTTATGAGTTTTCTTTTTACTTTCTTCACATCTGTTCTAGCACAAAAGTTTGAAAAAATTTTTAAAAATTATTTATTTCTAGAGAGAGAGGAATGGAGAAAGAGAGGGAGAGAAACATCAATGTGTGGTTGCCTCTCGTGCATCCCCCCCCCCACTGGGGACCTTGCCCACAACCCAGGCGTGTGCCCTGACTGGCATCGAACCAGCGACCCTTTGGTTCACAGACTGGTGCTCAGTCCACTGAGCGACACCAGCCAGGACATAAGTTTGAAATTTTGATCATTTCTGATTTAGCTATATTTAGTTTTGTTTTGTAGCTCATACTTTTAGTGTTATATCTTAGAAACCATTGCTTCACCTAAGATCTTGAAGGTTTATGCCTCTGCTCTATCCTAAGAGTTCTATGGTTTTAGCTCTTCCATTTACATTGCTGACCCATTTCGTGCTAATTGTTGAAAATGTGGTGAGGCAGTGGACCGACTTTGTTCGTTTGCCTGTAGATATCTGGTTGCCTCAGCACCGCCTGTGGAAAAGATGGGCCCCCCGCCCCACTGCAGTTTGCTTCCTGCACTGAACCGTGGGTGGTGGCGATCTTTCAGTATCATCACAAAGAAAGCCTCCTAGTGTTTTTTTTTCTCTTGTCCTTTTTCAAAGCTGCATCGTATCTTCTGTATGGACATAATTAAAGTGTGTTTAGCCAGCCCTCTGTTGGTGGACACTTGGGTGTGTTTGTCCTTGTGTCTCACACACAGTTCTGTAGTGGGTCTTACACAAGTCCAGGCATATCTGAGGGTACAAGTTTGAAGCAGTACTGCTGAATCAGGTGTACGTAACTATTTGTAAATATTGCAAAATATTTTAATACTTTAGGAAATGAGACAGACATAAGCAGAATAAGAGCCTTTACAATATTAACATTGGAATTTTGATTGGAATTGCATTGTGAGTAAGATCATTAGAGAGTAGCGTATGGAGACTAACAGCAGCCACCGAGGTACAGCGGTGTGGAACACACAGAGACCGACAGCAGCCGCTGTTACTGTGCTCCCACAGTGTGGCAGCAGGCGCGCAGCACGGTGCACGGCGGGAGCCGTGCACACTTTATTTCACTGAATCTTCCCAGCAGCCAGTGTTGCTGATGTGAAAACGGAAGCCTAGAGCAGTTTCCTGACTTGCTCAAGGCCATGCACGGAGCAGGTGTCCTCTAGCAGTAAAAGGGTGGTTTCTGAGGTCCTGTCATCTCCGTCTGAATTCTGGCTTTGATCTCTGGGGCAAGTCCCTTTACCTCTGTTAGCCTAGTTTTGCCATACAAAAGTGGAAATAATAATAGTATCTACTTCATAGGATTATTGGCAACATTAACAAGTTAACACAAAGTATTTAAATCAGTGGTTGACACATAATATTCAATAAATGTCAGCTTTTTTAAGAAGTTTACTGGATAAACTGAGCTTTCGCAACAATATATCAATATATTACAGGCTTAAGGATTATTTGTGTTTGTTGGACCTTAATACAAGTTTTTTCTGTAATGATAAGTTACAGAAATGTGGAGATTTTTTTTTGCTAGTTGTCATTTTTAGTTTTGATGGATACTTTGCTTTTACCTTTAAAAAGTTGATTGTACCAGTAATTATAGATCAGATTTGTTCTCGGCAATAGTCTTGTCAATGGTTTTCAACTGTATTAGACCCAATGTCCCCTCCCCCATTTGTAAACATTTATTTATTTTTAGAAGGAAGGGAGAAAGAGAAGGAAAGAAATCGATTGATTGCCTTTTGTGCCCCAACTGGGGTCTGAACCTGCAACCCAGGCATGTGCTCTGACTGGGAATCAAACCAGCAACCCTTTCCTTAGTAGCCAGCCAGCTGAGACACACCCGTCAAGGCCAATGTCCCCTTTTTATAACAATATTTTATAATGCTTCTCTGACTATCCTTAAATAAAATTCATAGATGATAAAATATACCTATGTACATAATTTAAAAAATAATATACTGCCCAATTGTAATATCAAAGAGAATAAAAGAAGGACTTGAATAAATGTTAGTACTTCAGTATATAAGATGCGTAGAGGTGACCGCACTCCGGCGTGGTGAAGGAGCTGGAGGCGCACGTGACCACCATGGCTGCAGCGGCCGTGGGCGCGGACTGCATGGGTCTGCCGAGCTGCCGGCCCCTGGGCTGCCGTTACTGTCAGTGGTGGCATGGTCTTTTTTCTTTTAATTTTAGGTATTTAATTTTTTGGAGAGAAAAAGAGGGAGAGAACCATCTATGTGTGGTTGCCTCTCATGTGCCCCCTACTGGGGACTTGACCCCACAACCCAGGCATGAGTCCTGACTGGGAATCGAGCTGGTAACCCAGGCTGGTACTTAGCCACTGAGCCACACCAGCCAGGGCTGACATGGTCTTGTAAAACAGTGACTAGCTCTTGGTAGAGATCTGAGCAAAATAATATTAATTCTTTTCTCAGTATTCCTGCATTCCTATATTATTAGTAGTAGTATTACCATGGAAAGGCACTTGTCTTTATATGTAAAATCGATTTAGGGTGTAGGCCACAGGTGCAAACAGAAGGCCCACGGGCCGAACCCGGCCCTCCACCCTGTTTTATCTGGCCCAGCACCTTGTTTCTACCCAGTGGTAGCGCCAAGATTTCGTTAACTGCTAAGGAATAGTGACATCCATACAGTCCTAAAATTACATTCGGCCCTTTGAAGGCAACTGCAAGGCCAGTGTGGCCCCTGGAGAAAATGAGTCTGACACCCCTGGCCCAGACCCCAGTAAAGACTGTGTTTTAACCTGGAGGACGTTTACCGGTCGTGCATTGGAAATCTCGTGGGGCTGTCCTTCACTGACTGAGGCCACCCCACCCACCGCAGGAGGCTCAGTGTCCTCAGTCCCTCTCTGAGCATGAACAGTTCTCAGGTGAACCAGAGACTCCCCACGTTTCCACAACATTCAGAGCAGGGCAGTAACTGCCCCCATTGAGATTCATTCTTTAGTGTTACAAATTACACTGTTACAGCAATTTAATTTCTGTGTTTTCATGAGGAAAATTCTGATTAACATTAATACCCATTTTTTAAACCTTTATACATTTGGAATCCTGTTCGATTTCTTCATCTTTCTTATCTAATTTTATCCACACTTAATTGAATTTTGAATTAAGATCATATTGTGCTGGAAAACCCCCTTCGACTCTGCAGACTGCTGTCAGTTTGAAGAGTGTTCGTTTTCAGTCTGCAATGTGATGCACACAGAGAGAGCGATGCTTCAAGCTTTCATAGCAATTGGATGTTGCTCTGGCATCCAAGTTCATGATTTTTGTATTGTTCGGGAATAGTTTGCCGTACAAAAATTATTCTCTACCATGCATTTTCTAAGAAGCATTGCAATAGATCAGTTATTTTCAGACCTTTAAAAAGGTTTGAAGCATTTAAACACTCTCATCAAACCGAGCCTCGTGTGGACACACACTGTATAAAGTACATGAAAGTGAAGCTTACCTCTGAAGTTCGTGTGAGCCCGACGGTCCCCAGACGCCTCAGTGGCCCCTCAGGGCCACCACTGGTCCCCAGGACAGCAATGTCCACCTTGTTCACCTCATGGCACACATAAGTTATTACTTAAATTCTGCAGCACACTAAAAGTATATTTTTTGCCGATCTGAGAAAAATAGGCATAATTTAACATAAGACGGCTATGGTTGTGTTGGCCGTTGTCATTTTTTTATTTGACGGTCTGAGGGAAAAGAGGGCAGGGCCCCTATTGAACACTGTCTGGTGTTGCTCGTGTGACAATTCTGGCAGCGCACCGGCGGGCAGTCGCTGCTCCAGGGCTTCTCAGAGCGCAGCTCGAAACCCACTGGCTTACACAAATGAACACATTCTTTCATTCCTCATAAAGTTAGGGTTCCCTTTATATCCCTTTACAGAAAAAGGGTAACTTGTTCTAAGGTATAAATATGTCTTGAAACTGTTATGAAAGAGACAAAAAAACAAAACCCCAAGCCCCAACTGGATCTAAAAGCTACACCTGGAATGTGCGCCCTTGGGACTTCTGTGTTTCTTAAACTTCTGTTAGTCCTCTCGTGAGGTCTCGCTGCCTGCAAACGGCTCTCCCCACGGGCGGCTGCAGGCCTCAGCCCCAGTTTCACTTTTTTGTGTTGACTTGTGGAGGTGACTTCTGGGCCCTCCAAAGTGAATTTTGTATTTCTAACACTATCTACACATACTTTATATAAATCTTTCCTAAATATATCCTTCAGATTTGGTAAAATTTCTTGCAAGATTACTCACAGAAAGAATATTTTTACATGGATGCCATAGATCTTAGTATTTCACTCAACTGTTTGAAATTGTCTAGCAGCTACAAATTATTGCGAAGACCAGTAGTGGCTGAGTCTTGTCTGTGCCTGCCTCTCTAACCAGACATTCTCCTCCCAAACCCTGCTCTCCCCCATCCCCATGCTGCTTTCTACTTTTTCCAGCCACCACAGCTTTGTTTATTTTTTCTAAGTGCCTAGCTTCTTTCTTCCTTAAGGTTTTATTTACTTTATTTGTAGAGAGTGGGGAAGGGAAGGAGACAGAGAGGGAGAGAAACATCAATGTGTGGTTGCCTCTCGTGCGCCCCCTACTGGGGACCTGGCCTGCAACCCAGGCATGTGCCCTGACTGGGGGTCAAACTGGCAACTCTGGTTGGCAGGCTGGCGGTCAGTCCTCTGAGCCACACCAGCCAGGGCTAAGTGCCTAGTTTTTTCTTATTTCAAGATCCTTGCATTACTCTTTCCTTCCTACCCCAACCCAGATGGCCACCTTCTGTTTCTTTGAGTCTTAGCTTAAACATCATCTTGGGGAAACTTACCCTGTCCCTGCTTCACTAGCTTAAAGTTGCTCTGTAATGTTTTCCGATCATGTCTTATATTTTTCTGATTCATGGCATTATTGCAATTGAAATAAAATAAATTTCATGTGTAATTATTCATTCGTATGCTCCCCCTGTAGGTTTCACTTCCACAGGTGGACAGACTGTGTGCATCACCCCTGTCTACTCTGTGTCCAGCAGTCTCTCAGAGTAGACGATCAGTAAATAGTGGTGTTCAATAAGTAACACACTTTTAAATATTATTTCTACACAGCATATGTTCAGCGAGGAACTGTGGAGGAAGTATGGACATTTGTGTAAAGTCTCACACTTTCTTTAGGTTAAGGAACGGCCTGACGTGGGTGTGTACATCAAAGACCTGTCAGCGTACGTGGTGAACAACGCCGACGACATGGACAGGATCATGACGCTGGGCCACAAGAACCGTGAGTGTGGCGCAGGCTGGGACCAGGCGCTCCTGCGGCGAGCGGGCTGGTTCGGGAGGCGGGCTGCTGTGGCACTCGGTCCCACAAAGGCTGGATGTTTAAGTTTCTTGGTTTCTTTTTTAAAAAGATGTTATTTATTTATTTTTAGAGCGAGGTTGAAGGGAGAATGAGAGGAAGAGTAATGTGCATTGGTTGCCTCTCACATGTTCCCCAGCTGGGGTCCAGGCTGCAACCAAGGTACATACTGTGGCTAGGAATCGAACCAGCGACCTTTTGCTTTTGCAGGATGACACTCAGCCAGCTGAGCTGCACAGGTCAGGGCTGGATCTTTAAGTTTCTTGAAAACCCAGCTCTTTGATCATTTCCTAGGTGGTGAGCACATGTAAATGAGAGATATCACAGCTGGCTTTCTGTGCTGACCAAAGTTTTGCTTCTTAGTAATAGTGCTATCTCTTTGGAACTCTTATGTAGCTGTTTCTTATCAGCCGTAATAATATTCGGTAACAGTCATTGAGCACTTACTATGTGGCAAGTACTTGTGCTGAGTGCTTTATAAGGAGGGTCTCTTTTAATCCTCAGACTAGACTATGACAATATTAAATTCCTATTTTATGATGGAGGAGACCAAGACTAATTTAAATACCTCGTCTAAGGTTCTATGTACTTAATAAGTGGTGGAGGGAGTTTTTTAGCCTAGGCCACAAATCTGCATAACCAGGCACTGTACTTCCTCTCTTTTATTGACAAGAGAAGCAAAACAAAATGATATAAAGTGGCATTTTTTCGGAATTGTTTTAGTTCCTGCCTAAGTAATAAAGAACTTCAGCAACATTCAATACACAGAGGCCCCAGGCCTGGTACTAGTGGTGTTGCGGACAGCAATTAGAGACTCGAGGTGAGAGATGAAGACATAGGAAGTACACATTTTTTTTTTTTCAAGGCTGTTCAGCTTCTCAGACAGTCGGGAAAACGCACCCTAAACGATGGTGGGGGCCTAAACTTCCCATGGGTGTGGGGGGCACAAGGGGGCTGCCAGGGGGCACCGGGAAGGTCGGGGGGCGCCGGCGTGAGGCCCTGGAGAAGCCAGCCTGGGGGCCGGGCCACCCAGCAGCACAGCTGTGCTGAGGGTGGTCGGACGGTGCCTGGTGAAATGTTGACAATGCGTTCCTTCTGACCGGTGTTTCTGATCCTAGATATGTATTCTAGAAAACCGTTTTAAGTGTAAAAATGGCTTTTTTGAAACATTATGTGTAACACAAAGTTTGATACAACTTAAGTAACTATAAACAAAACATTGGTTATCTAAATTATGGTACAAAAATACTCTGGACTATAATTAAGCTCAAGGTAAAGTAAGTGAAAAGAAAGCAAATTACAGAACAGCGTTACTGCATCGTCCCGTTAATGTGGGTGAAGAGCCAGGTGGTGACGCCGTGCACTTGGGCCCTGGGTGTGTGTGTCCTCAGGTCACACAAGGAACACGCGGTCGGTGGGCGGGCAGCGGTGACCTGCAGGAGGAGGAAGTTGAGTGAGGAGAGGGGTGTTGGAGCTTTCATTTTTTTTTAAGTATTTAAAAAATTTTAATACCAGGAATATGTTCGTGTACTGTTTATTTAATTTATACATTTTTTAAACATAAGATTCCATTTATAGTGGTGACCAAAACCTCCCATTAATTACCTGACAATTAATTTAACTTGTATGCGAGATTTGTTCAAGGAGAGCTAACGCATTCTAATGAGAGAAGTAAAATGCCACAAAGACAAAAAGATTGGAAAAGCTAAGGGAGCAGAGAGGAAAATACTCTCAATTAATAAATCAAGTCCAAGAATTAAACATTTAGTACAGATATCCAGTATAAAATTTCCAACTCTAATACAAACTTTATCATATAGAAATATAGCCGAATAACTATGAAGAGGGACATAGCAGAGGGGGGAAATGGGACAATAAAAGCTGCCATTCTAAGTGAAAAATTCACACAAAGATAAAATTAGTGCCCATTTTGTACAGGTGTCATGGTATAGAAACAGTTAATTTTACACCTGAGAAAATAAAGTCAGTCATCTCACAAACAAACAGCCTCCCTAGCAACTAAAATGCAAATTTAAACTACTCCAGTTCATTTACCTTGTGGGCAGCCTTGTAAATTAGTTAATATTTTTGTAGAACAGTGTTTTCAGGCTTTCAACCAGGTTTTTTTTCCTTAAAGATTATTTTTTGAATAGGAAATCCATAGACATGGTATAAAACTCAAAAGGCACAAGAGCATGCACTGGAAAGCAATCCCTCTCCTGGCCCGGGCCTCGGTCACCCAGCTCCCATCCCGGCCGCCCTGTCTGTCCCAGGCTGATGTGCCCACACGTGTGTCTGAGAGAGGCCTGTCCCCCTGCTCAGCCTGACAGCAGCGCACTTTACTCCCGTACAGGGTGCCCCTTAGAGATCGCTTCACACTGGTGCGTGCCGGCACACACGTGAGCGCTTCAGAAGAGCGATGCAGCGTGTCTCCTGGTGGACCTGCGCACAGTTTATTTTCCCAGACTTTCACTGACGCACTCCTGGCTTGTTTCCAGACTTGCTATTACGAGCAATACTGCAGTAAATATTCTTATTGTACATATATGTCCATTTATACACATGCAGCCATGTTTATAAACTTTTTCATGCCCTCTTGAAAAACATACAGATTTAATATTTTTATTCCAAAGGAAACATTTGACAAGAATTAGAGCTCTGGAAGTGCTTTCTATCTTACTTCTATTATGTGACATATCGGTGGGTTGGAGCCCCGAGTCCACCTGATTCCTGCAAGCTCTGCTCCCCAGCAGCTGCGGAATTCACCGTAGGGCCCACTGCGCAGCGTGTCTGCCCCATCTCTTGGCTTTCATAACCAGAAATACAGAAAAAATAGCATCCTTTACTTACATTGTCAAAACAACAGGTATTGATTATGGTCATTTCAAATCACGTGTTCTCTCCATATCCAAATTGAAAAACATCGCTTCAGCATGATTTGGTGCCCCGTAGCTATGAAATAGTTTCTGCCCTCTGACCTGGTCATTCCATTTTGGGAAATACGTTCCACGGAGATAACCCTTGAGAGAAAGAAGGGCATCTGCTCAGAGCGCTCGTCACGGCGGTGGTCCTTATGAAATGGGAGCCCATCCCAGGTATCTCTCAGGAAGGGAATGACAAAGTCAAGGCTTAATAGTTTTTTATATTTTGGAGAAAATTATAAATTCATAATTTGACTTAAAAGGAAATAGAAAATATAGTGTGAAGTCACAAATCCTGTACTTTTAAAAAAAAATTACAGTTTACTTTTTATACTGGTTTGTATTGGACTCAGGTGTACAGCATGGTGGTGAGAGAGTCGGACACTTTACGTAGTTCTCCCTCCCGATATACGCACTGGCACCGCCCAGTCATTGCAGCGTTATGCACTGTTCAGGGCCCAGCAGAGTAAGGCCCCTTTTTATTCCAAAATCATAAGCATGTAACTCTGTAAGGTAACAATATCACACCCAAGCACACCATAGGACATTTTAGGTGAAATGTTCAAGTTAAAGCTGTAAGTCGTTACACCCACGTTATCACCCTGCCAACTGCATTCCGGCAGGCCTGCCTTTGGCCGGACCCTGTGTCCCCTGGGCTGTACCTTACACCCGGAGACCGTTTCGTAGCTGCCAGTTCACACTTCTCAGTCCCTCCACCGTCTTCACCCACCCCCAGTGCCTCCCCTCAGACCACCATCAGTCTGTTCTCTGCAGCCACGGGTCTGTTTCTACTTCGCCCGTTTATTGTGTGCCTTGGATTCCACGTACGAGTGAGACCATACGGTGTTCATCCTTCTCTGAAGCTGGACTCGTGCAGGCTTCTCTTCTCCGTCGGTGCTGTTTACATTCTGCTTATCTGACTTCCAGTGCAGCCGCACGCTAACAATGAATAGTGTCTGTATTTTAATGTTTAAGTTCTGAAGTCAAAGCTTGCATGGAGAAGTTCTGCATGAAGATACTGTAGGAAGACAATTTTGGCATTTGGTAAAATTAATGTAACGCTGTTACTTTGAAATTTAAGGGAAAAACCAATATATGCATACTGTAAAAAATCAGTCCCTTTACACAATATATTCATGTAAAATATTTATACACTCACAAATACTTAGTGTCTTGAATGGATGCTTTTGTTCGATGGAAATGGGATACTACTATACATTTCTCTCTTATATTTTCAGCCTTATGGCATGGGTATCTTTCCATCTCATACAGATCCACCTTCTTTTTTAAAATCCGTAGCATGACTGGTCCATAACTGAGTGACCCCGGCCTGTTGGCTGCTTCTAGTCTCGGGCCCTTGCGAACAACGCCGCCCGGGGTGCCCGGGCGTCAGCTAGTGCACTCACGTCTGTCCGCGGTTCGGATGCCCAGGACCCAGTGCTTCCTACTGCAGCTGGAACAGTCGCAGTTTTTTGAATTATTTAACATGAATTTTTATGTAAATTAGTAATTTATATAAATTACTGGCTACTTTTGCAGCCAGTAATGCTTGGGATTAAAATGAAGTATTCTGTCCTAAAATGACCTCTTTAACAGGAGAAGCATTCCGGATTCTTTTGTTATCCACCTACATTGTCAGAAACTTCTAATGATGGCTAAACACACTTGTGCTTTTGTGGTTTAGCTGTGCTCTCTGCTTTTTGGCTCTGATGCAATCAAGTATTTTAAACCATTCTCGATAGTTATAGTTAATAATTTTTAAAAACACTCCGTTATTACACTTTCTAAGAATCTCCTTCCTTTACTCCAGGTTCTGTTGGCGCAACTAACATGAACGAGCACAGCTCCCGCTCCCACGCCATCTTCACCATCACCATCGAGTGCAGCGAGAAGGGCGTCGACGGGAACATGCACGTCCGGATGGGCAAGCTCCACCTGGTGGACCTCGCTGTGAGTGACAGGGTGCTGCCTAAAGGGTGACTCTTGTAATTTTTATATTTTACAAGTGAATAAAAACCCAAACGAAGAGGGGTGGTTTACGCACAGAATGTTTCAAACCCATACAAGAGGAGACAGAGTAGTTTGATGGTCTCCTGCGTGACCATTCCCCGACTTCAACAACTGCCTGTGCGTGCCCGTCCAGTGTCCTCTCTGCCGCCCCCACTTCCCTTCCTGTGTTGTTTTGAAACGAACTCCAGATACTGTAGCAGTTTTTTTACTGTTAAATTACTTTGTTTTTAAGCTTTGGAAACAGTAGTCTATATTTTTAATTTTGGCTTTATTTCTGTTTATGTGTCTTGCTAGGGTTCAGAGAGACAGGCAAAAACTGGAGCTACGGGACAGCGCCTCAAGGAAGCCACAAAAATCAATCTTTCACTGTCCACCCTTGGCAACGTGATTTCCGCCTTGGTTGATGGAAAAAGCACTCACGTTCCTTATCGCAACTCTAAACTGACTCGTCTTCTTCAGGACTCCTTAGGAGGAAATTCAAAGACCATGATGGTAGGACTTCATTGATGATGTTGTAGTTAACCTCAGGGAAATTGAAGATTTCCTGTTTATCCCATAATTGATATGCATAACATTTAAAAAACTATCGAGTATTTCACTTTATTTAACCTGTGGGTATTCTTCATCTAGCACACGCTGTGTGCTACCATGTGATGCTGTTTGGAACCCATGTGGTTACACTCTCTTTGATATCTTCGTAATGGCAGTATTAATTCTAGCTGTGTCAGGCATTAAAATGTTCTGTATTCCTCATTCAACAGTGTGCAAATATTGGGCCAGCAGATTACAATTATGATGAAACTATCAGCACGTTGCGGTATGCCAATCGTGCTAAGAACATTAAAAATAAAGCTAGAATTAACGAAGATCCAAAGGATGCTTTGCTTCGTCAATTTCAGAAAGAAATAGAAGAATTGAAAAAAAAGCTTGAAGAAGGTAATTTTTCCCCAAAATGTTGATCTTAACTTAATGTTGGCTGAAAATGTGTTGCTAATAAAAACTACCTGTTAAAAATTTTTTTTACCTCTAACATTGATATTTAAAGGAATATTTCTGTTTGGTAACTAGATACATACTTTAGCATTTTCATATTCAGCTCAAGTAAAAGTATATAATCTTTGTGTATGTGATTAAAAAACCTTATTTAAACACCTATCTTAATCCTAGTGTCCTTTTGTAGATTTCATATGACCACTTATTAGATAAGGAATTTTTACTGTCTCTGTATAAGAGCAAGTTCTACTGCATATTTAGGTAACTATGACCAAAGGTTTCTGTGATAGAGAATCTGGAGAATCAGTATTGTTTGAAGTACAGAAAGCTATCACAGAATCATGGGTAAACCAAGTTTACTATAAGTAAAAGTTTATTGCATGGCCTTGAAAATATGCTTTCATACTTAAATTTGAACATGAGACTCTCTTTTGGAAATGCCTTTTTAAGACGATAATGTTAGAAGGTTACAAAGTAACAAAGTAATGTTAGAAGGTTTGAAAACTTCATTCATGAGTTTGAGAAACTTACTCTCCATCACTAAGTGTGCGCGACTCTCTTCGTGCTGAGAGCTGATCGGCATAGGGCCTTGAAACTCAGGGAGACGGGTTGGACCAGACATGGAAGCCAGAGACGCCAGCGTCACAGATGTTTGGAGAAGGTGCTGACTCGGTAAACATGGAGTGGGGTTACTGGGGAGAAGCAGGAGTGACTGGCCTGCCTCTGAGATCACGAAGTGTGTTTTAAAAGTGACCACTAGGTGGTGTTTATAGTCGGTATGTTTTCAAGATTTAAAATTTTTCAGATTTGTTAATGTTGAGTTTATACCTTTATCTTGCTGACTTAATTTTTCCATTTCTTATTGTAGTAAAATATATATAACATAAACTTCACCATTTTAACTGTTTTTAGTGTGTAGATCAGTGGCATTGTTTGTTCGCATTGTACTGCAACCATCACCATCACCCATCTCTAGAATGGTTGAGTCACCCTGAAGTGAAACCCTGAACCCTTTAAACACTGACTGCCCAGCCCCCTCTCTACCTCAGGCTCTAGCAACCACTAGTTTACTTTCTGCCTCTGAATCCGACTGTCCTACCTGCCTCATATAAGTAAAGCCATATAGTATTCATTCCGTGGTGTCTGGTTTATTTCATTTAGCATGATCGCCTCAAGGTTTATCCGTATGGTAGCACGTGTCAGGATTTCCTCCCCTTCTGAGGCTGGATAATGTTCTGTTGTGTGTGTGGACCACATGTTGTTTGTCTGTTCATCTGCATCTGTGGGCACTTGGGCAGCTTCTGCCTTTTGACTGTTAGGAACAGTGCTGTCGTGCATGTGGGCAGAGGGTGCCCCTTCGAGGCCCTGCTTTCAGTTTTTTGTGCGTACACCCAGAAGTGGAACTGCTCGGTCATATGGAAATGCTGACCTTGTTTTTAACACATTTCATTTTATTTTTGCTCTTAGGACATTTGTTTTTGGAGCACCATGAACAGAATTGATCATATACATAATAAAAAGTAGGCAAAATATTAAAAGAATACTTTTTAAACTTTCTTTTGAAATAATTTTAGACTTATAGAACACTTACAAATATATTAAGGGGAGTTTCTATATTACCATCACCCAGCTTCCCTTAACGTTCACATCTTATGTGAACTAATCTGCAGATTAACTTATCCGCAGATCTTATTTAAAATTTTTAGGCCACACCAGTAAAATAGTTTTACTTAACTTTAAAATAGTCATCGCTGTCAGGCTCCTACTTGGACTCCGGCGGTTTTCCTCCCGAGCCCCTTTTCTCTATCCTGTATCTGGTCCGGGTGCGTCCTGCGTTCAGGCGTCGGGCCGCGGTCTCCTCGTGTCTGCAGCTGCTCAGGCTTGGTTCATCTTCCCCAGTCGTGGCGCTTTTGAAGAGTGCTGGTCATGTATTTGTAGAAGGTCTCTCAGCTTGGCTTTGTAGGTCTCTCATGATTATCCGAAAGGTTTCTCTACTATAAATCTATTTATTTTTTCCTTTGCAGTTAATACGTGTCTTGTGAGGAGCTACTTTGAGACTATACAGAGGCCCTGTTTCTCATTACACTTTCTCCCTCTAATTTTGGCACCATCAAGGGCGCTCGCCCGAAGCAGCAATTCTGTGGCATTCACTCAGGCGACTTGCTCTCTCCGGCGCTCCCTCTGATGTTTAGTGTTTGGAATTCTACTGCATGACAGAGCAGTCCCTTCTCCCCATTTATTTTATTTATTTTAATTTTTAAATTCAATTATTTATTTATTTCTATTTAGAAACAAAACCAATTATTGTATTCCAGGGTATTATTTTGCATACAGATATCATTATTACCTTCTAGACTTATACTTTTTAAAAATTATTTATTTACTTTTATTGATTATGCCATTACAGTTGTTCTATTCCCCTCCTTCATTCCCCTCCACCCTTCCTCCCGTCCCCACCATTACCCCCCCTTTAGTTTATGACCATGTGTCTCAAGTTCTTTAGATTCTATATTTCCCCTACTATTCTTGCCCCCCCCCTCTATTTTCTACCTACCGTCTATGCTACTTATTCTCTGTACCTTCTCCCCCTCTCTCCTCCTCCCACTCCCCTGTTGCTAACCCTCCTTGAGATCTTCATTTCTATGTTTCCACTCCTGATCTAGCTGTCCTTTTAGTTTGCTTTTGTTTTAGGTGTGGTTGTTAATAACTGAGTTTGCTGTCCTTTCACTGTTCATGTTTTTTTTTTTCACTTCTTTTTCTTAGATAAGTCCCTTTAGCATTTCATATAATAAGGGCTTGGTGATGATGAACTCCTTGAATCTGATCTTATCTGAGAAGCACTTTATCTGCCCTTCCATTCTAAATGAAAGTTTTGCTGGATAGAGCAATCTTGGTTGTAGGTCTTTGGATTTCATGATTTGGAATACCTCTTTCCAGCCCCTTCTTGCCTGTAAGGTCTCTTTTGAGAAATCCGCTGACAGTCTGATGGGGACTCCTTTGTAGGTGACTGTCCCCTTAGCTCTTGCTGCTTCTAGGATTCTCTCCTCATTTTAATCTTGGCTAATGTAATGATGATGTGCCTTGGTGTGTTCCTTCTTGGGTCCAACTTCTTTGGGACTCTCTGAGCTTCCTGGATTTCCTGGAAGCCTATTTCCTTTGCCAGATTGGGGAAATTCTCCTTTATTATTTGTTCAAATAAGTTTTCCACTGGTGGCTGTTCCTTTCCCCCTTCTGGTACCCCTATAATTCGGATGTTGGAACGTTTAAAGATGTCCTGGAGGTTCCTAAGACTCTCCTCATTTTTTTGAATTCTTGCTTCTTTACTCTTTTCTGTTTGGCCATTATTTGCTTTCTTCTGGTCCACTCCATTGATTTGAGACCCAGTTTCCTTTTCATCGCTATTGGTTTCCTGTGCAATTCCATTCATTTCAATTAGTTTCCCCTTCATATGTATATCTGATTTGTGGCTATAATCAACCAGTTCTGTGAGGATCCTGATCACCAGTGTTTTAAACTGTGCATCTGAGAGTTGTGCTATTTCTTCATCGCTTAGATTTATAGGCTCTGGGGCTTTGAGATCTTCTTGAGCCATTTTTGTTCTGTTCACGCCCGTTAAGTACGAGGAGGGGAGCCTCGGACTCCCAGGTCGCTGGGTTGTGACGCTGTATGTGGGGGTGTGGTCAGATCGGGGAAATGGTGGCCCTCTGTGCTGTTTCTTGCTGCTGGGTGAGGAGCAGAGCCTCAGGTGGTTCACCAGGGCAGGGCCACTCAGGTTGCTGGGTTATGACGCTGTATGTGGAGGTGGGGTCAGAGCGGGGAAATGGCAGTGCCCTCTGCTGTGGCTCGCCACTAGGGCCTGCTGGGTCCCGTCCAGTTGCCCACTCCCTCGCTTGTCTATCCACGCATGAATGTGCAACCACAGTCAACCCCAGTCCTGCTCCCTTGCTGTTTCCCTGCGGTCGCTCGCTGAGTTGCCCACCAGGTCCAACCCTGTGCCTGGATTCTGCGCCTGAGTCCGTCTGACGGAGTTTTCCTGTGCTACCCTGCTCCTCCAGCTGCTGGTTTCGCCCCTCTTACCGGTCAGGCTGAAGAATTTGTTGTTATCAGACTTCTGAAAAGTTCAATTTTCTGTGTTCTGGCTATGTTTTCTGTTGCTAATATTTAGTTGTCTCTAAACTTGGTTGTGTGAGGAAGCACGGCGTCTCCATTTATGCCTTCATCTTGGCGGAAGTCCAGCCCTTCTCCCCATTTATTTATCCAGTTGTTTGCGTATGTCAGTGTGGACTCATGGCTATTTGTGGTTTGTAATACAGTATTACTTATTTGATTGCTCAGATTGTTTCAGCGTTGGCCCTCAGAAGCTCCGGCCCTCGCAGCGTCCTCCCACAAGGTTTTTGTTTGTTTAGCACTCATGCTCTGGCGCCACAGATGTGTTGGGCTTATTTCGTATTTTCTCTCCCCCAGCCTTAAAATCAGCTGTTCTCCTTGGTTCCTGTCACTGGAGAATGGTATTTAGAAACCAAGATTTGAGTACAAAGTGTGCACATTGCTACCAGGGTGTCATTGTTTCCAGGCCTAAAGAACAACATATGTTTTAATGAATTCCTTGTTCCAGGACTCTGTGATTTCTTTCCATTCTTGATTTACGATTCGAATATTACCTCATCGTGATTAGTGTGTATTCTGTTTTTCCCTCAATTACTTTTGTTTCCTTAGACACTTCATATATGAACAATGGTATTTTTAAATAACTTCTTTGAAGGTAATAGAGTATTGACCTTAATTAATATTAGTTTCATTATTCCCTTTTATTTGCTTTTTAGTTTTTAAGTTAATGTAATTCTGTACAAATAAGTCTTTGTTTTGAAATATTTGTTGTGATATAGTCCCAAAAGTGGGATCACTATGTTGATGACAGTTTCATGGCTCTTAAAAAATGCACAGGTTGAATGAATTATTTAATATCTTAAACAAAAAATTGAAGAGAAAATGGTCCCCAAAAGTGATCACACTTTTAAAAGACTGAAATAGTTCTAACATGTAATCTTTATATGTACTTAGAACTATACTTTATTATTTGAAATTTTAAATGGATTAGAATTCAGCTTCTCTTTAGGAAATATAAAAATAAAACCTCTGTACATCATGTCTATTCCTGAGGTTGGTGTACCTGGTATACTGTCGAGAAATTTTAATGCAAGGTTTGTTTAGGGCAATGAAAACTGAATGAAGTAAGTCGATCCAGGCATTTTCTAAATAGCCAATGGCCTGGTACAGAGTAAAAGTCATTGTATTAAATTTCTGTCAAGGGGAAGAAATATCAGGCTCTGACATCAGTGGGTCAGAAGAGGATGACGATGAAGAGGGTGAGCTTGGAGAAGATGGAGAGAAAAGGAAAAAAAGAAGGGGTAAGTTCATTTTAGTTCTAGAAATCGCCTGGGATTGCTGCTTAGTGACGGTTTAACATCCCCAAGGAGGCTGAGTGCATGCCTTTTCTTTTGCCGTTTGTAGTTACGGTAGCAGTTCAGAAGGAGTATGGCATACACCCGGTGGGCTTTGCATTATTTTTTCTGCTATACTGATCTCCTGTTTATAGCTGAATTAGAATACCATATGTTCTTTTTATAGAATTGTAAGCCAGTAATAGTGGATATACCATTTTAAAATTTCGTGTAGATTTTAAATTTTATTTGGGGACTTTTATCTGTGTTAAGAACCTACATTTAGGAAATTAGGATAATGTGGAGTTTTTCTCAAGCACAATTAGGCTTCAGAAGTCATTGAATTTTTAAATAAGTTTGTATAAGGATTCTGTATTTTAGTTTAATTTTCTTCATTATAAAATATGCTTTCATTTTCATCCTGTTATGTGCCATTTGCTGCAAAGTATGAATTAAGTATTTCTTGTGGTAAAGATACAGATAACATGTAAAAGAGAGAGACATATTATAATGGCATACATTTCCCATCTTTTACCCTAAATATTTATTCATTTATTTCAGAACTCTCTTCCATTAATGTGGATCATTGTTTTCAAGCTGGTGCATATTTTGCTTGTCTTATTAAAATGATCTTAATCAGGGCAAGATCTTGCAGCGGACATCTCTTGCCGTAGCCTAGCCGCCTGTCCCCGCCCTGCAGGGAGCTGGGGGTCATTGAAGGAAATTGAGCATTGAAATAAAAATGATCTTGTGACAATAAACTCACCACTGCTCAATCAGGGCCTGTACATTTACAAACTGTAAAGATTTTATAACTTCAAAAGACAGGAAAAGCCTGATTTGGATTGGGAGTTGGCATAATACAGTGTGCTGCTTTTGTAAAGAAAATCTTATTGAACACCCATGCTTATTTATGAGTGATGTGTGGCTGGTTGCTTCACACGAAGTGGTATGGCCCACAAAACCTAAACACTTTTAATCCTCACCCAAAAATATGTTCATTGAATTTTTAGAGAAAGGAAGGGAGAAGGTGAGCAAGAAACATTGATGTGAGAGAGAAACATGGATCGGTTGCCTCCTGTCAACTCCCCGACTGGGAATTGAACCCACAACCTAGGTATGTGCCCTGACCAGGAATCAAACCTGTAGCCTTTTGGTGCACGGGGATGACGCTCCAACCAATTGAGCCACCTGGCCGGGGCCCTAACCGCTTATTATCTATACCTTTACGGAAAATGTTTGCCATACCCTGATTTAAAGAATTGGTTTTGTGTTCATACCTATTTTTCACAGAGTAAACTATTCAAAGCTAAAGCAGATAATAGATATATTAAAAGTAAAATTTTAAATAGCAAACAATGCTACTGTTTTATATGTTAAAATATTTAATAGTAAAATACCTTTCTTTCAGGCTTAGGAATTTTAAAATGTTCAGTGAGCTTTTTAAAATTTTGCTGTGGAATCTTAAAACACACATGATCATTTCTGATAGTGTGATGTTTTAGAGGAACAAGTGAAACTGGAGACAGACTAACCTGTCCGTGAGAAAGGGCGTTTCCTCATTTTTGTAACTGCAATTGTGTGTGACTTCAGGTCTTAAAACTCCAGTTCCTTTAACTTGTCAGCCTAAGTAGCTTAAGTAGACTTAAATGTCACCAAATGACCTACCGATTTTTGACTCTGTCATGCCAACCCTCTGAACCTCTGTGTTTGAGGTGGACAGTGGCGTCCACCTGCAGCCGGCACTTACAGGAACCCCAGTGTCTAGTTCCCCGCATGGCTTCGCCAGCTTGGGCTGGGCCACCAAGGCTGGTTTTAAGGGAAAGTAAGTTTTGGTTCTGCAATACACGGCTTGATTGTCCATTAAAATTCTCTCTCTGGAACTGAATTTTTCTCTGTGTATGTGCTCCTTTTCTTGTTTCTTTTTCCTTCGGTTCTCTGTGGGCTCATTTCTTTGTCTTCCAGGCAGTAGCAGCAGCAGTAGTTCAGACTCCACATGTTCTGTCATAGAGAAACCTCTGGATAAGTTCTTGCCTAGTGAGTGGTAGCTCTTAAGTTCTCTAACAGAGCTTCGGCTTCTCCGTAACCCTGGGCTTCACTTGGGAAATGCCGCACTGCTCCCTGTCATGACTCAGAGAATGGACTTCCCGGTAGAACAAAGCATGCGATGATCCCCTCACCCCCTCATTGCTTCCAGTAATCCATGGTCGTTGAACACGTGTTTAAGCTTATGCTCGAGACAATGGAAGAGAGATTCACGCTTTTGCAACCGAGATAATGTAAAGAGAGCTAGTAAGCTGTATAAAAGGAAACCTCTGATGGTTCCTTTTCATATTTCATGACAAATTGCTAATCCTAGTCAGCATAAGGGACATGCAGTAACAAATCCTGAATTTCTAAACGTCCAGATTCTGTCGGGAAGTGCACCAGAGCCCACTGGGGCACGTCCTCCAGTCCGGGAGGTTTAGGCTTTGGCGTCCTGGTCTCGGGGCAGCTGAAGAGCCAAGGCTCCCAGATCAGGGAAGTGTAAAGTTTTGAAGCAAGTGATGGTAACTTGAATAGTATTTTATATCAAATGGCCATTTATCCCTTCTTCCAAATTACCTGATTGATTTTAAGGAATTTTCTAATGTGTGATTGGAGAATTCAGATCCATAAGAAATTGTTTATGCATGATCTAGCAACTTATTTCAAACCTGAAGACTTTCCTTAAACCTTAATTAAATTGAAAAGTATTATTTATATTTTATCTTCAGAAGAAAGGGGAATTGATGCTTTCTTGTGCTAGTTTGCAGCTTACTGTCTTTTCAAGCATTATCTATATACTTACCTTTCGAAACTAATAGCAAAAACATTGGTCATTGTTCTTATGTTTTGGGCTCTCTAAAGGAAGAATTCCAAGAATATTAGAAATTGTATTCTTTATTGACAATTCTTAAATTTTACCAAAACAATTAATTTCAGAGGATAATATAAAATACATGATGTTGCTTTAGAAACTATATGGAGGTATGATTTTGTGTTATAAACTATAAAATACAACAAAACATCTGAGTAGGAGGGACTATAATGTAATTTCCTGTTTTAAAACTTACCTAACCCTTAAAGACCACTTACAGGGACGTATGTTATGAAATGAGCTGCACCCTGTTCAGCTCATGCAGTCTTAGCTACAGTTCGTGCACCGAGCACGCCAGTCAGCTCTTCTCCCTGTGACGTGAGGTACTGGTGAAGTGCGGAGACAGCCGTCCCGGGGCGTGGTTGCTGTGTGTGGCTTGCACACACCTTCCCTTTAAAAAATATGAATGGCCTTTTTATTTAGGTGTTCTTTGCTTGAATCATCCATTGATTATTTACTCCTATAGCGTCATTACTGTAATGCTCCTTAACAATCTACTAAGAGACTGAATGCAAGTTTGTTATCATACAGGTGTGCTTCACTTTATGCAGTAAATATGGGCTCCTTTTTTTTTCCCCTGAAAAATTGCTTTTAAATCAAGCTGGAAAATAAAATGTATTGGGAGAGCTTGCTTTTTAAAAAGAATTTTTCATTAAATCCTTTCATGAACCAATCAGTGCAAATTGCCACAATCCAATTTGGGGTTGAGGTTTTTGAGCTGGGTTTGCTCCAAGGGAGGCACACCTGTCACGGATCCTTACAGTGGGAGAACATTGAATTGGGAAATGTTAAAAATGCACGATGTGAATTTTGCTGCCTTTAACTCACTAATTTTTAAGAGTTGGCTTAATGTCCTGTTCTGCTCTTTTCGAATACTCCCCGGGTCTTAGCAGTTTCCCAATTCCATGTCTGCCGTTGCCACGCCCACACGGCCGGAGGCTCGGTACTGGCGGTTCCGGAGTGGTGTGGGCTCCCGAGGCTTATCTGAACTGTAATCTTAGATTAAGTTAATCTTCCTATTATCTGTGCTTAAATTACATCTCTAGTTGTGTTGAATATGCTTTTCTTTTTTTTTCATAAAACTGCTCTGTTTCAGTTTTGATAATGATTTGATTATTTCTATGCTTATACTGTAAAATAAATGCTATTATACAATTTTCTTCGTTTTACACAAGCAGTAACGTTGTTCTGTTTTTCCTCCTCGTCTCGGTGCATGTGCCTCTGTCTGCGACTCGCTCGCTGCTTCGCACTGAAAGACCAAGCAGGTTGGTGTGATTGATTTGCAGTCCACGGGTGCACTTATTTAAACTATGAAGGACTTTGTCATTTAATTATATTACATTTTTTAAAAATTAATAATTTTTTTACAAGGTAAGTATCCATCTTGTGTATTTAAAAAAAAATCCTTCAACTTCAGCTTTAAAAAAAGAGCTTCCTTTTTCCCAAATTAAAAAAAAATTATTTCAGTTTTTATTCAGGAATATATTAGCAACATTCTTATTTCAAAACGATCTTGTTAGGGGAACAATTCAGAAGGGGAACAATTAAATTGACAGTGACAGACACACAGGATATGCTAGACCTAATTAACAACACAGACAAAAATACGTATATCATCAGAACTAGCTGGCATGATCTTTTTTCCTGAATCCTTAAAGACCCATGAAGCCAAATTTCGGAAGTACAAATATAAATGATTCCACAGGCAAGCATTTTTTTCCTTTTCGTTTAAAGTGAGGAATCAGGTGCCTGGTCACTCACCCTGAGGGTGCTCCTGTCATGCACATGAAGTGAGTTCGGTCAGCGCTCCCCGAGCCCCTCCTTTCTAGCTTCACCTGCCAAGTCCCCTTCAGCTCTGGGCAGCGCCTGTGGTGCAGGGCGGTGAGAAACATTGCCACTCCCGTCGGGCTTAGTTAGATACTCTGTGCCGTCAACACTTAAAAAAAATACTTATCTGGAAATCTGTGCTGAATTCTATCATGCAGTATTAGAAGCAGAATTTTTTTGGTTGGTTAGTTTTGCTGATTAAGATTTTTTTTTTTAAAAAATGGGGAGAAAATGCAGACAACTGTAACTGAACAATAATAAAATAATTTAAATTAAAAAAACATTAAAAAAAATCAATGCAAAAGTGACCTTTAGTGATCTCACGTTTTTAAGTGCCTGGTTAAGAGAATTGCTACATATTTGCATTTAGCTTAAATATTATTTGGGGAGAAATATAATAACTTACTGGAATAATTCTGGTAGCAACATGTTACTGAAATATAAGACTTTTGAAACTGAACCTAGCTATACGTGCATGGTCATTAAAACATTTTTTTTTGTTTTTGTTTTTTTGTGTGTGGGGTGGGGGAAGAGGGAGAAAGAGAGGGAGAGAAATATTGACATATAAGAGAAATATTGATTGGTTGTCTCTCACATGCCCCGAACTGAGGGCCCCGGCCCACAACCCAGGAACACGCCCTGACCAGGAATCAAATGTTTCGGTTTGCCAGAGGATGCGCAGCCCCCTGAGCCACATGGATCAGGGCTGCGTGGTCATTTTTATGAAAATGTTACGAGAGTACAATAAGATCTTTGTTGCTAAAGCATCAGTTTGAAAATATTACCTAATTTAAAAAAAATAAATAATGCAATTTAAGCATAGGTAGTAATTCATCAATAGACATGCTTTTGTATTCACACAATTTTTTTGTCCTAATATGTTGCCTTTTTTTAAAAAAACTATAATTCTGAGGTGGAAAGGAAGCTGTAATTTATTATGCATGCACTTTATTCCTGAACTTAGACTTTCCCCCTTCAAATTTCTAAGAAACAGTGTTGCCAGTGGGCACTTCTTCATCTTTTAATCTTGTCATTCAGAACCTTGAATACAGGTGACAAAGAGGCCAACAGAATCAGTCTTTTGGAATGCAAAGAATCACACCACACCAGAGCATGAGTTTGGATCAGTGCTTTTATTTACTCTTTTTATTTAACTTATTTTCTTCATGGCTTAAGTTTGCTTTGGACTTATATTTCTGTAGAAATGAAAGGTACTATATTTTAAACCTTGGGTTTTTAAACATAATTTTATCCTAAAGAATGAAAGTCTATGCATGATTCTTTGTCTTGTGGTTCCCAAAAGAATATATTCAGATATCTATACTTGTATATCTTATCATTATTTTTCAGTTTTCTTTCCTTATCAGCAGGAGGGGTTAGCTTTTGGGTGGGGACATTAATGATGTATAGAGTCTTCTGGTTCACACTCTCCTGTGGTCCTTCGAGAAGGAAGTTAAGAAATACAGAAAGCTCTCAGGAGAGCCTCAGACCAATTCTACGAAAAGTTTGATTGTTTTTCTCAAGGAAAGTATGTTTCAAAGAAATTGTGTTACCAGAAATGAATTATCTTTGATTCAGTTTCGTAATCAGTTTAATATGCTAGTTTTTGTTTTCTTCTTTTGATTTTTCACTTTAATTTCATGACTTGGAAATTTAGTCAATAAACTTTTATTGCATACTGTTTATAACAATGTAACACTTTTATTTATACTGTTATTATAAAAACCACTCTACTTACTAGACATCATAATCAAAACAATCAGTTGGAAGCTGTACTTCCAGCTTGATTATTTTGTAGTATTTCTACTTATATTTGACACTTATCATATTTAATCTGATGTAGAGAGGCTTAGAGTCCTGCATTTGACGTAATGAGTTACTTTACTTTTTTATTTAAAATATATCATGACAGCTCAGCAACTATAAAACTTCAATTACTATATCACTGTTATATAATTAGTATAAATTTTTTCCTTTAAAAGTATACTGTGAAATAAAATAATTTCTAGTAATTTTATTAAACAAAAATTTTATAAACACTCTGAAGAGATATATTAAAAACTAGCTATAAGTTCTGATGGATATTTTTATCTGTTCATTTTATATTTATATGTCACTTTTACTTATTCACTTACTTCAGTAAATTTTGGGGAGGTATTTTGAGAAACCACTTGATGTGTGTACCGGGTTATCAGAAAAAAGTAACTAGTCATATGGCTTTTTTGACTATGTTATTTGGAGACGCACAGATCTGTGGGGTTTTTTTTTTTGGTTTTGTTTTGGGTTGTTTTCTTTTCGGCTTTACTGTTCATCTTTCCTTGTCTTTTTCTTCTGCTCATCTGGTTTGCTGCTCTTTTGCTTACGTTTGTCACTGCACAGTTGGAAAAGTTTGAATCTAGCAATTAGTTTAAAAGTTCTTCTAGGAACACAAGGTATTTATTTGATTTCCTTAAAATGTTAACATTGGATTTTGCATTATGGAGGCTTGTGTCTTTTATGGAAATGGGGAGACTGCGAGTCTGGAGCACTGACTCTGAAGTGACTGTTGTCATTAAATGACTCAAATAGGTAAAAAGAAAGTTTCCCCAGATAAGATGGTTGAAATGCAAGCAAAGATCGACGAAGAAAGGAAGGCACTTGAGACGAAGCTGGACATGGAAGAGGAAGAAAGAAACAAGGCTAGAGCTGAACTAGAGAGGCGGGAGAAGGACCTTCTCAAGGCCCAGTGCGTATCACCGGGTTGGAGTGGGGGTGCGGCGTGGGTTTCCGGGAGTTTCCACAGGGCGTGTGGATGAGAAAGTCGAATCGTGATCGAGTCTTGTTCTTTGCCTCCAGAGAAGCTGCTTGTGCATAGAAGGTTTCATTTTATTTGTTGTATTTCTAAATATTACATCTGTTTTGGTTCGTTCCTCTCTATATGAGAAAAAAACATCAGTGAATTGGAATTAGTCGTAGATCAAATCATAAATTAATGAACCCAGTCATATTATTCGACAGAGGTGTTACCTATTTCTATTCCTGTTTTGAAATTTTGCATCCAAGTTCTTATCAGATTTTGTTAAGTGATATTGGTAGAGTAGTAGATGATCAATGATTATAGAGTATTTTCATTTCAATCCACAGACAAGAGCATCAGTCTTTGCTAGAGAAGTTATCTGCGCTGGAGAAGAAGGTAATTGTTGGTGGTGTTGATTTGCTGGCAAAAGCTGAGGAACAAGAAAAACTTCTTGAAGAATCTAACATGGAGCTGGAAGAAAGGAGGAAGAGGGCAGAGCAGCTGCGCAGGGAACTGGAGGAAAAAGAGGTAATGCGACTTGTGTGTTTTGTTTGATACTTCGCCTAAGGTGTTTAACTTTTCTGGCTAAAAGCTAACTATCTATAGTTTTAATATTATTTTAAAGCAGATCTATGGGTTGCTTTTTAAAAAAAATGTTTTATCGATTATGCTATTACAGTTGTCCCATTTCCCCCCCTTCATTCCCCTCCACCCTGCACACCCCTCCCACCCACATTCCCTCCTTTAGTTCATGTCCATGTGTCATAAGTTCTGTAGTGTTTACATTTCCCACATTATTCTTGCCCTCTCCCCTGTCTATTTTCTGCCTGCCATCTATGCTACTTATTCCCTGTACCTTCCCCCGCCTCCTCCCACTCCCCTGTTGCTAACCCTCCATGTGATCTCCATTGCTGTGGTTCTGTTCCTATTCTAGTTGTTTCCCTAGTTTGTTTTTATTTTAGGTGTGATTGTTAGTAATTGTGAGTTCTCTGTCATTTTACTATAAGTGTTTTTTATCTTCTTTTTCTCAGATAAGTGTCTTTAACATTTCATATAATAAGGGCTTGGTGATGATGAACTTTTTCAACTTGACCTTATCTGAGAAGCACTTTATCTGCCCTTCCATTTTAAATGAAAGCTTCGCTGGATAGAGCAATCTTGGTTGTAGGTCTTTGGTTTTCATGACTTGGAATACCTCTTTCCAGCCCCTTCTTGCCTGTAAGGTCTCTTTTGAGAAATCCGCTGACAGTCTGATGGGAACCCCTTTGTAGGTGACTGTCCCCTTATCTCTTGCTGCTTCTAGGATTCTCTCCTTCATTTTAATCTTGGCTAATGTAATGATGATGTGCCTTGGTGTGTTTCTTCTCGGGTCCAACTTCTTTGGGACTCTCTGAGCTTCCTGGACTTCCTGGAAGTCTATTGCCTTTGCCAAATTGGGGAAGTTCTCCTTTATTATTTGTTCAAATAAGTTTTCCACTTGTTGCTGTTCCTCTTCCCCTTCTGGTACCCCTATAATTTGGATGTTGGAACGTTTAAAGATGTCCTGGAGGTTCCTAAGCCTCTTCTCATTTTTTTCAATTCTTGTTTTTTCATTCTGTTGTGGTCGAATGTTTCTTTCTTCCTTCTGGTCCACTCCATTGATTTCAGTCCCAGTTTCCATTCCATTACTATCGGTTTCCTGTGCATTTCCCTTCATTTCAATTAGTTTAGCTTCCATATGTTCCTCTAATTTGTGACTAAAATCGACCAGTTCTGTGAGGATCCTGATCACCAGTGTTTTGAACTGTGCACCCGATAGGTTGGCCATCTCTTGGTCACTTAGAACTATTGGCTCTGGGGCTTTGATCTGTTCTTCTGCTGGAGCCATATGTTTTGGTCTGTTTGCACCTGTTACATATGAGGGGCGGAGCCTTAGGTGTTCACCGGGGTGGAGTGACCCAGTCGCTGGGTTGTGACACTGTATGTGGGGGCGGGGTCAGAGAGGGGAAAAAATGGCGCTTTGCTCCGCTCTCTGTTGCGTCTCAGTCCGTTCCAACCCTTCCCCCAAGCAAATTGGGTCTTACTGATGCTTATTCCCATGTGGGTGGGCTTGTGTGCATTCTAGGATTCTGTGGGTCTCTCCAACAAACTCTCCTGTGAGGCTGGGGGTCTCTCCCTTCGCCTCAACCCCCACAAATGTTTTTAATCGGTGTTTTGAGGCTTTATTTTCAGCGCCAGGACCCTGGGTTGTGCCATCCATCTCGCTCCCCAGTTATCTGCATGGGAATGTGGGACCGCTGCCCGGTCGGCCAGCCTCCTTGTGCACAGTGCCCCCGTTGTCTCAGTCGCTGCCTCGTTGGGTCTGCCTGTTGCCACCCCACACCTGGGGTCTGCCAGCCGTCGCATGGGTGCCCAGGGTGCCTTGTGCTCCTGGTGTCATCGCTTCCTGTGCCACGACCCTTCTCCATTCGGCCACCTGACCCCGCCCCACCTACCAGTCTGGATGAATGTGTCTATTTTAACTCTTTGGTTTTCCGACTTCCATACAGTTCAATTTTCTCTCAGTTTTGGTTGTTATTTTGTTTCTAAATTGTTGTCCTTATTTTGGTGGTTCGAGGAGGCACAGTGTGTCTACCTACACCTCCATCTTGGCCAGAAGTCCTAAACATTTATATCATTTGTTAAATAAATTTCTCATTTAAAAAATTTTGTCATATATCAATTTTTGTAATAGCAAGAACGCTTGGATATCGAAGAAAAATACACCAGTCTGCAAGAGGAAGCACAGGGAAAGACCAAGAAACTAAAGAAAGTTTGGACTATGCTGATGGCTGCGAAGTCAGAGGTTGGTCTCCTAGAAACTACTTACTAATGTAGTTCTGAAATTTTCAAAAAAGAATTTCTGTAAGTATCCCAAAGGAATCATAATGTATACTTAGAATTTTAAAGGGATAAAAATTTCTTCTCTACTTCTCTAATTGCTATTAAAAATAGCAATTTTTAATTCTAGCTATTAAACTAAATTTCCAACCTTCACAGCTAATGTGCATTAAGTGAGGCAGCGTTAGTGGTGCTCACCCATTGTTTCTGCGAAAGAACTGGGTCGGCTCCTCCAGGGTTTCTTAGCCCCGGGCCCCGTGTTAGACTGGACCGCTTTGTATTTTAAATCTCGTTTATCTTTAATGTCTGCACTGACTTTCTCATAGATGGCCGATCTCCAACAAGAACATCAGAGAGAAATTGAAGGTTTACTGGAGAACATTCGACAGCTTAGCCGGGAGCTTCGACTTCAGATGCTCATTATTGATAACTTTATACCTCAGGATTATCAGGTGAGAGGGAAGCTCCCTGACCTAGATATAGGTCGGTCCCTTGGCTGTGGTTAAGGAATAAGGAAGTGTAATTTGTTGTTTAATTGGCGGTGAGTATTTCCATTGCAGTCGTCAACAGTAAAATTTCCTTAAAGTAATGCTGTAGCATTCACTTCAGCTGTTGACTTTTCTTAATACATGACTCTCTGTTTGAGTGTCTGAGCATCTAAATAGGAATTTCTTAGCCTTTAGAGAAATCTGGATTCATGCCCAGCAGGTCCGCAAACAACACTGTGTCCGTCGTCGTCGTCATTTCGTTATGTCGTTGGAGACGGAAGGAAAATGGATTCCCAGCTGGAGCCACTGTGCACGTGCAGTGGGCGTGTGCTCCCCGGGTCTGCACGGGTTTTCTCGGGGTCCTCAGGGTCCCTGCACATCCCGGAGGTGTGCCTGTGAGGTGACTGGCATGTCTGCGCCGTCCCGGGCCAAGCGAGTGAGCGTGTGTGTGACGTGCGCCGTGACGGAGCGTGCCCTGCCCAGGGCGGGGGCCACCTCGTGCCCCCAGCTGCCTGGGCGAGCTCTGGCCGCCCATGAGTATCTTTCCCTCAACTTGATAAGTAGGTTTGAAAATAAATATATTAGTCTTTCATAAATGTATGTGTATCTTACATTTATTCCAATGCTTAATATTAGTGGTTTGGGGCCTTTATTTAGAGGTTTGGTGGTGTTTTTTTGACCAGAAATATAGGAACTTAACTCTTGTTTATATCAATTAGCCTATGATACAATTGGTTTCATTATCATCATTTCGCTTAAAGTCGCAGTTTCCGAGAACCTGTCAGTGACACTAGGTGAGGACTTACTGTAACTGCCGTCAGAACCAAGGCACAGGCGCTGCTGACCGCTCAGCGTCCCTCACCCTGTGAGCAGAACGAGTGGCGCTCCTGCGCCCGCTTCCCCTCCTGCTTGTGGACGCCCCCTGTGTGTGGGGGGACACGTGTGTGACACGGAACTGATGGTCTTCACTGCTTTGAGGGTACCGTTCACCGGCACTGGCCATCTCCAGAGGGCTGCTACTTCTCGGCACTAGTGCAGCACCATGGAACGTGGGGATCTCAGCCTGTATTTTTTTTTTACTCAAAATGTTCGTCTTTCTGGTACATTTTAGTGTGTTTAACATGATGATTTTTTTAAAAATTTACATTGCATCTCTCTGTAGCTGGGAGAAACTTGTCTACAAATAAGCCTTAGTGTTTTTCCCTTCGGACACCGGGTGTACAGAACTGATCTCTGGTTCTCGGCACGCCCCCAGCCGGCCCTCGGGGCCGCCTCCAGCTGGTTGGTTACCGGGCGGTGAGCTCATCACCCTGAGTGGGGGCCGGCACCGTGGCAGCGGCCCGCGCCCGGTCCTGTGTCTCCCCCGGCTCCAGGCAGCCTTTCTCCAGAACCCAGTGCTCCTCGTTTTCTTGCTTTTTAGTTTTATGTATTTCTTAAAAGCACATATTTTGAAATTTATGAAAAAAGTGTGTCATGCAGTATATAATGTTTTGAGACAGATTTCCCCCTTGATCATAAAAATTTTAGTTTCTTGAATGTTTTTTCATTTTTTAAGTGTTATTAAATATGTTATTAAATATTAAAAGTAGACTATCTTGGACTCTTTTCAAAGGAAATGATTGAAAACTACGTCCACTGGAATGAAGACATAGGAGAATGGCAGCTGGTGAGTATCACCTCCACCCTTTCACGCAGACGAGTTGGGTGGTGCTACGCCCCGTGGACCAGGGGTTTTGCTGGCGCCGGTGGGGAGGCAGGTGGTCCAGACGGTGACTCAGCGGAGACCCGGCGGGTGGAGAAGGTGTTTTCCTGATGAACCGTGTTAGAGCTCACGGACTGTTTGCTGCACACGCCCGGGCAGGGCCACGCAGGACTGCGTAGCCCCCGGCCCCTTTCCGTCCCAGCATATTCATTAACATCAGGGTACCTTACAGTAATTTGCTAATTCACAGTGTCAATTGCTATTTAAAATGATTCGTCTCTGCCTCTTTTTCTCTTTTTTTGAGAAATGTGTTGCCTACACAGGAAATAACATGAGGAAGCAGACTCCAATTCCTGATAAGAAGGAGAAAGATGTAAGAGTGCCTTTTTAAAAAAATTACAGCGTTTCTTTATAGGAATGTGGGTCATTAAATCGTGTTAGCAGCATGGTATCTGCCACTCAGCTGTGCTAAGAGCAGGCTGCTTATCCGGGAACAGAGGCTCCAGGGCGGGGGAGTCAGGGTGGCTGGTTTCTGCCGCAAGATGCCGAGGAGTCTTCTGGACTCATCTTCCCACCACCTTTCTGGGTCGTGGAGATTATGGTTGGCGACTAGAATATCCTTTTCTTTTTTGTATTTTAATATATTTTATTGATTATACTATTACAGTTGTCCCATTTTCCCCCTTTATTCCCTTCTGCCCTGCACACCCCTCCCACCCACATTCCCCCTACATGTCCATGTCCATGTGGCATAAGTTCTTTAGCGTCTACATTTCCCACACTATTCTTAACACCCCCCATCTATTTTGTACCTACCATTTATGCTTCGTATTCCCTGTACCTTTTTCCTTATTCCTCCTCTCCCCTTCCTTACTGATAACCCTCCATGTGATCTCCATTTCTGTGATTCTGTTCCTGTTCTAGTTGTTTGTTTTTGTTTTTGTTTAGGCTCAGTTGTTGATAGTTGTGTTTCCTGTCATTTTACTGTTCATATTTTTGATCTTCTCCTTTTTCTTAGATAAGTCCCTTTAACATTTCATATAATAAGGGCTTGGTGATGATGAGCTCCTTTAACTTGACTTTCTCTGCCCCTTGATTCTAAATGAAAGCTTTGCTGGATAGAGCAATCTTGGATGTAGGTCCTTGCCTTTCAGGACTTGGAATAGTTCTTTCCAGCCCCTTCTTGCCTGTAAGGTCTCTTTTGAGAAATCTGCTGACAGTCTGATGGGAACTCCTTTGTAGGTGACTGTCCCCTTACCTCTTGCTGCTCCTAGGATTCTCTCCTTCATTTTAATCTTGGCTAATGTAATGATGATGTGCCTTGGTGTGTTTCTTCTTGGGTCCAACTTCTTTGGGACTCTCTGAGCTTCCTGGACTTCCTGGAAGTCCATTTCCTTTGTCAGATTGGGGAAGTTCTCCTTCATTGTTTTCAAATAAATTTTAAATTTCTTGCTCTTCCTCTGCTCCTTCTGGTACCCCTATGATTCTGATGTTGGAACATTGAAAGTGTCCGGGAGGTTCCTAAGTCTCTCCTCATTTTTTTTTTGAATTCTTGTTTCTTCGTTCCGTCTTGGTTGAATGTTTATTTTTAACTTCTGGTTCAAACTGTTGATTTGAGTCATGGTTTTCTTTCCGTCACTGTTGGTTCCCTGTACATTTCCCTTTATTTCACTTTTCATAGCCTTCACTTTTTCCTCTATTTTGTGACCACACTCAACCTATTCTGTGAGCATCCTGATTACGAGTGTTTTGAACTGTGCCTCTGATAGATTGGCTATCTCTTCATCACTTAGTTGTATTTTTTCAGGAGCTTTGATCTGTTTTTCATTTGGGCCATTTTTTGTCTGTGCACACGTAGTGTTATGTAGTAAGGGGTGGAGCCTTAGCTGTTCACCAGGGCTGGGCAACCCACGTCACTGCATTGTTGCGCTGCCTGTGGGGGAGGGGTCTGAGAAGGAACAGTGTTGCTTGCTCAGCTCTCTGCTGGATTTCAGTCACTTCCCCTGCTACCCACAAGCATACTGGATTCTTCTAGTGCTGATTCCCAAGTGGGTGGGCTTGTGTATGTTCTAGGACCCTGTGGGTCTCTCCAACAAACTCTCCTGTGAGGCTGGGAGTTTCTCCTGCTGCTGCCTCAATCCCCACAAGTGTTTTCAGTCAGAGGTTTGAGGCTTTATTTCCCTGCTGGAACCCTGGCTTGTGGGTCTGTCTGGCTCCTCAGTTGTTCCTCCTAGTTTATCTGCGTGCGAATGCGGGACCACCTGCTCAGCCAGCCACTGCCTTACTGAGGTTCCCCCACACCCAGGCTGCCCATCTCCGCCCCTCCTACCAGGGAGGATGTTTCTTCCTTAACTCTTTGGTTGTTGGACTTCCATACAGTTCGATTTTCTGGCAGTTCTGGTTGTTTTGTTTTTAAATTTGTTGTTGTCCTTTTGGTTGTGGGAGGAGGCACAGCGTATCTACTGTGCCTCCATCTTGGCTGGAAGCCAGAATGTCCTTTTCAAAGCTAGTCCTAGTCTTAGGTCCAGCAGAGGAAGTACCAGCACTGAGGGAAACAGCAACAGTTTTGCTTTACACCCAAGGAATTTATACTGTGTCAGGGCTCACTCACGAGCCCTTGCTGAAACGTGTGAGGTAAATGGCATTAAAGAAGATAACTTTAGACATTTGTTTGGTCTTGTGTTCTGTGGCTTGTTTCTAGAGTTTATTCAGTATTTTTTTAAAATTTTATTTCTTTCTAGAGAGAGGGAAAGGGAAGAAGAAAGAGGGAGAGAAACATCAATGTGTGGTTGCCTCTTGCATGCCTCCACCTAGGGACTTGGCCCACAACCCAGGCACGTGACGTGCCCTGGCTGGGAAGCGAACCAGCAACCCTTTGGTTTGCAGGCCCGCGCTCAATCCACTGAGCTATACAGCCAGGGCTTATTCAGTCTTTTAAATCTTTCCCCGAGTGTGGTCTAAATTCTTCCTCTAAGCGCATTGGGGTCTGTTTCCTGTACGCAGCCCTTCGAGGTGGACCTGTCCCACGTGTACCTGGCCTACACGGAGGAGAGCCTGCGGCAGTCCTTGATGAGGCTGGAGAGGCCACGGCCTTCCAAGGGGAAAGCAAGGCCCAGGACAGGGAGACGGTAAGGACTGCCTGAGTCTCGCGAAGTCAAGGCCGTGAGATATGCTAATTAGATACATTTAAAGGAAATTTAGTTAAGATGATATTCTGGCTGATATATTTCAATATCAAAGTGCTTATGTAGTTATGATTTGAGTAAATAAAATTTTACTAAAGACTTAAGGTCTTCCAACTTCTTTAGCTGTCTCGAGTAATAGAATTTGTAATGTATTTTGTTCTTTCTAAGCCATCTACTACCTTAATTCCTTAATTCTTATAGTAATTCCTCGAGTGCGATGCTAATTGATTCGTTTGGTTAGACTCCCAAGCACCCAACTATTGCCTTCAGCTTCCTCATCTTTTCTGCCGTAAGCCTGGTCCCCAGAGCTCTGACCCCACAGTCACCAGTTAGAAAGAACTGCTCCGACTACCTCTGCCTCCTCTTAACCCGGCCTCTTAACACGGCCGGACCTGCCCGCCCTTGGTCTGTGTCTAGGCCCTGGGCCCCCTTGTTTTATCTGCTACACAATGTAAAGTGTTTGCATTTCAGCCTTTCAGGAAAGTCTTCATGTTTTCTTTTTCTCTTCTCCAAACAGAAAGCGTTCTGCAAAGCCTGAAACTGTAATTGACTCTCTACTTCAGTAAATGTTACGGACTTAAATTCTCAATAAAAACTAGTGATATCCTGATGCCTGGATGAGATATTTAATTAAAACACTGAAGACTTGTGTAATTTCACAGAGCGAAAGCTGTAAATCATGGAGTAAGACTGGAACTAGTAATTTGCCTAATAACTTTTTGTCTGTATATAAGTTAATGTATTAAAATTGTACCACTGGTCATCGCTCAGATGGCTGTGTCACCCTCAGTCTGTACGGTGCCGGGGGCTGGGGAGCAGCCCCTGCCACAGAAAGCTGCAGGCGGGGTGCGCTCGCGAGTCTGCGCCTAGTTCGCCAGCTGCCGGGTGTCCATGTACATGGTTGTGCCGTGTTCTGCACGCCAACGGCGGCGGCTCTGGCTGCGCTGTGCCAGGTGAGCGGAGGGGCTTTGTGCCCCGGCCGTGAGTCGCCCGCACACCCACCGGCCCGCTGACCTGGGTTCTAATCCCTGTACTGTCATTTATTGCGCTTGAGTACTAGATGATCTGTGGAAAATGTGTCATTTGACAGACAGTCTTTAGACATGTACATGTTTAAAAAGCAAAAGCTGAAGATGTTTCAACTAGATCTCTCGACCTTTTCTACCACTTTGAGTTTAAGTCAAATATACTTTTTTTGTGTTGATTTCATGTTCTCTTGAAACATGGAGTTTGTACCTAATTATAAAGGAGTCACAGTTGCAGAAAATTCAGATGCTACATGCTGGTTGCTAATCTTTGCCCATAAGTGTGTATTTAAAAAAATTCATCGTGAAGTGTGATTATGGATGCTTTCCTCTGAGTTCTAAATTTTGGTGAAAATCACTATGTATCGCCCAAAATTGAGAAAATCTCCATTTTCCAGAAAATGCAACCAAAGCAAGAAAAGTAATTCTTTTAATTCTTTGCCTTTAAAATAGATTTTTCTTTGATCATCTTCCTCTAAAAATGAAAATCGTTTTTACTTTATAGTGAAATAAGCTGTATTAGTTAGTATTGTGATTTCCTTGTTGGCTGCTTTTTTTTTTCACGTGTTGCTCTACCTACACCAATGTACCTTTTGTGAACTTTCACATAAATGAGCATGAGGTTCACCTTGTTCTAGGGGGCAGAGGAAAGCCTGGTTCGTCTGACAAAGCCGGGTAGAGAGTGGGGGTGAGCGAAGGTTGGTGCCTGGGAGGCGGCGGTGAACCCGAGTTCCCGGATTTCACGTGTGTCTCGGCGGTGTGTCCTGAACGTCCCGTGCAGCTGCGTCCCTGGCAGCGTCTCCTCGGCGATGCGCGAGGCAGGTGTTCCTGACTGGCCTGTGCGGCCCATGCGCGCGCCTCAGGCTCGGTCAGTAACGGCGCTGGAGAAAGCCCTGGTTTCTGGCCCGTGAGCCTCCCGTGAATAAGAAAGGCACAGCTTCTACATAAGCTCTGAAACGCTACAGAGAACGTAAGCCAGTGTGCTGGGTGTATCTATCTCACTCCCCTGCGGTGAGTAAAGGAAACCTGGGAGAAGTCAGAGCCTGGAGCGATTTTAAGAACAGGCTGCTCAGGCAGTTTTTTCTTTGAAGCACTTACATTAGAATTGATAAAACTGATTATGCCAGGCGGACAGTGAACTTCTGTCTTGTGAAACACCGAGGTCTGGGAGGTGGGCCCCGGTAACCGCAGGGGCGCCGGCCAGGCCAGCTCTGTGCTTCCTTCACACCTACTGTGTCTTGTGCGCGGGTCACGTATTTTACAACCTCAGTGTTAATTTCATGTAATGATACAGATGAGCAAACTTGCTCATTCTATGAAATAGATTTAAAATGAGTGTCACATAGAAATAGGTTTTTGAATGGAAATTTTCTCTGTAATTTAAAGAAGTAAAATTTATTTATTAAAAGGAGCCTTGGTGAATGTTGTTTGTGGTATGTTCTTTAATATACTTTGTAATTATATATACCGATAGTCAGGATAGTAAAAGACAGTAGTAGTCCCCAGTTTTGTTCCGATCCTCGCAAAGTGTAAGATTAATCAAGGGGGAGTGTCTGCATCTGTGGGTTTGCCCCGCAGACGAACCCGCTGAAGAGGCGTGTTGTCTGCTTTTCCAAGGAAAGGGGACCTTTCTTTGTGGCAAGAAGGTTAAGGTCACTTGGGAATTAGGGGAGGATGCCTCTTCATCTGTAACACTTTTTGAAAGTTATGTTTATAGTTTTGGGTTGTTTCTTTGTTTCTCTTTAGTCTTTAAAAAATGTCTTTCCTCTTAACTCTTAGGGAAGGTCCCTGTCCTTCCTCCAGGGCTGTGAATTAAGGAATTGGGTGGGTTGTACATTCCGGTTCGCTGGTGTTGCCCGGTTTCGTGGTGTATACATTTATTTTCTTGATTTGAAATACTAGAAGAAAACATAGGTCCTCCTAGTGCCTTTGAACTTACACAGTAGTCTGATTAGTCTAGACCGTTACCTTCAGTAGCATTACCACAATACTGTACACTGGCCAAAATGACAAATTGTACAATGAGTTTGTTGCATTAATTTCAGAAGCCACACTTCTATTATATTTTATGTATAAGTTGTATTTGTTCAAGTTGTATATATTGACAGTGTATATATGTGTAGCATGGTTAAATAAGAAATAAAAATGTTTACCTAATGCCTGTGGTAGGGATCTGCTTCTTTACCAAACGATTTTTGTGTTTACGTCCATCCCACTGTTAATAGTCAGACTTTCTGTGCTCGGCGCCGCGGTTTCATGTGGTTGGGAGAGGCCGGTTTCATTTCACACCTAGAGACTCATACCGGGACGGGTCTTTTGGCAGAAACCAGGGAGGGGTGTTTTAAAACGTGCTTCTTGCCCTGGCTGGGTGGCTTAGTTGGACGGAGCGCTGTCCCATGCACCAAAAGGTCGCAGGTTCGATGCCCAGTCAGGGCCTGTGGCTTCATCCCCGGGTGGCCTGTGTATGGGAGGCAACCAGTCGACGTTTCTCTCTCTCCCCGTCCTCCCCTTCCTTTCTCTGAAACCAATAAAAAAGTGTGTATCCTTGGATGTGAATTAAAAAAATATGTTTATCCAAGTTTTATTATCCTTTTCATTAGGTGTTTGAGAAAAGAAACCTAAAGAACTATGTTTGCAGAGTATATCTCACTAAAACGTACAAGAAGACATTTCTGAGTGGTAACGGTATTGTGCTCCTTCAAAGGTGTTCGTGAGCTTAAAACCTGGCTCGGATTATTGTTAATCATGGCTCCTTTTGACAAACGTTTCTCGATTATCAGACACTGCTTAGGAGACCTTACGTTCACAATGGGTGCCCAGAAGTTTTGTTCTGTTGGTGAGTTTCAAAAGGACTTCAGTGTGCTCGTTGCCTCCTCCAGCCGCCTCAGGGCCTGTGCTCGTCCTCTGCCCGGCTGTGGGCTTCTGCACAAGTCCAGCGTGCGTGCGCGCGCATGTGTGTGCGACAGTGCCGGGCGCCGCCCTCGCTCTCTGCCTCCCCTCCCCCGGGGGGCTGTGGGGCCGCGACTCACTTTCATCAAGTGGCACATCGTCCACCCCACCTTCTTACAAAGGTCTTCCAGAAATCTTTTTTTTTTTTTTTTAAGATTTTACTTATTTATTTTTAGAGAGAAGGAAGGGAGGGAGAAAGAGAGGGAGAGAAGCATCACTGTGTGGTTGCCCCTTGCCACCCCCTACTGGGGACCTGGCTGGCAACCCAGGCATGTGCCCTGACTGGGAATTGAACTGGCGACCCTTTGGTTTGCAGGCCACGTTCAATCCAATGAGCCACACCAGCCAGGGCCAGAAATCTTTTTTGATACCAAATACAAACAAAATCAAAACCAAAAAACCCAAGCGTCAGCTGAAGGGACCATAGTTAGCCTGTGCGCAGGGGAACAATAAACACGGCCCTGAAGCCACAACTTAAAGTGAGCGGGAGGAGCCTTCTAAACACACTTGTCACAACATCATCTGAATGTCACAATTCTTAAGCCGTTTCATTTGCAAAGCAAATCAGATACTCAGTCCTCCTTCGGAAGCTGAACAAATGTGTGGGAAAATGATTATGAAGCGGCTACTTCAGAAAGAATCTGTTTCCTCTCAGCATTTATCTTGGGCTTCCTGTGACCCAGTCTTCAAGCCACTTTTATCGCCGTTATCAGAACATCACTGTCTTACCCAAACAGGTTGATGGCTCTGACTAAAGAATATGACAGATCAGACATCCTTCCACACCTGTTCCCCTCCCCCATCCCTTTCTTGAGGGCTGGGGAAATTTTAGTTTCTAATCAAAGGCTTGATTTCTCCAATTGTACAAAGGAATTTAACTGGGACTTTACAGCTGCATACAACATGTCTCAGCACTGATATCAATCTCAGCAAGAGGATATTGCCTAACCCTGCCTAAAAGTACCAGAATCATTGCAGAAATACCACGCTGACCTTGATTCCTGCTTCTTCGTGCGCCCTGCCCCTCAGTTGTCGGGTGTCTTGTGGAGGTGCTGTGTTCACTGAGCAGGAGGCTGTGCAGAGCTCAGGCCCCCGCGGAGGGAGCAGGACCCAGGAAGTGGGAGGGTGACCAGGGAGCTGCCAGGAACGGTGTTTCTCCCCAGCAGCCGACGGGGTGCTGGGCACTCACCTCTGACCCAAAGGCCCGAAAAGGCTGTGGCTCCGCAGGGGAAGTGTGAGGGGGGTGTTAAAGCAGCCCAGCAGGGGGTGGGGGGCTGGGGAGGCATTTCAGGTGGGGAGGGAGCAAGCTGAATGTAGATGCCACGCACACTGGTGGCATGTTTGAAGTCAGGCGGAAGGGGTGGGAACAGTTGAGCCAAGAAAGGAGAGACTGTGGGCCAGGATCCTGCCCTGAGTTTTCTATAAGCAGGACTCTAGGTGGACTGCTCACACCGTGTGTGTGTTAAAGAAATGACTGCTGGAAAGATCGGGAAGGGTTAGGCAGGCGGGGTGTTGGGGGCAGATGCTGTCCCGTCCTGTCCTGGAGGCTGACCCCATCACTGTCACGAGTCTGAGGAGCCGCCTCGCTCTCCCCTCAGCTGACTCGCTGGCACCCATGGCTGGTACCTGGGTGGATGAACCATCTGTATCTTCTTCTCTCGGCGGATCTGCTCACACTGCCCAACAGGTGCCTAGGTGTGCAGTCAGCACACAAAATATGAGTGTGTGCTTGTGTCTGATTTACTGCTGGTGATTGGAAACTAGAAGAGAAGAGGCTGCTTAGAGACCGAAGGCCGGATTTGAAGGAAACACTTTAGAGAGCTGAAGAGAGAATGTCGAAGCCTGGGGCAAAGACCGGTCCAGAACGTGCCAGGCAGGACCGGAAGTGGCATGCCCACCGGGGACTGGGGCTCCAGCAACTGACAGACGAACCCGGGGATCGGCCCCAGACCAGAGTGAGCGCTTGCCTCCTCCTCTGTGGAAGTGGCAGGACCCCAGAAGCTAAGCTCAGATGCCCTAGGCCGGCCGTGCCTTGCTCCGGGAGGAAGCTGTGCACCACATTCTGTCCCCTGATTCCTCAGCCTCAGATGGTTTGGCACCCCGGGGGGCGACAGACATGCCATGGGGAGGGAGGTAGGGGAACCCAGAGCCAGGTCACCAGCTCGGACACGCCGACCGGTGGCAGCAGGAAGAGAGCCCGGCGCACTTTTAGCAGAGGCCAGCGTTCTAGCTGTGGACAGGGAGGGTCCGGTAGGGGCCATCAGCCGTAGTTTTGAGTGAAATGTTTTTCTTTTATTTCCTCGAGGTCAGGCTTTGCTTTCGATTACAGTTTACATTCCATATTTTCTTCTGTTGGTTTCAGGTGCACCGCATGGTGGTTAGACAGTCGTACACTTTACAGAGGGTCCCCCCAGCATTTCCAGTCCCCCCGGCACCGCTGACTGTGTCCCCTCGGTGGTCCTCCACCTCCCGGTGACGATCGTATAACACCAGTCTGCTTAACCCCTTCACCTCCTCACCCAGCCCCCCAACCCCTCCCTGCCAATAGCTGTCCGTCTGTCCTCGGTAGCTGTGAGTCTGTCATAATTTCATTTTGTTCTTTCGATCCTACACATACATGAAATGGAAATTTTTTTTAACAAATCTTTATTTCTTTTCCCCATTACCATTTATCCCCCTTATATCCGCTCCCCCTGCAGTCACCACCCTGTTGTCCGTGTCCATGGTCCTCTTTCCTTTTTACTCCATCCCTCCACCCCAACCCCCTCCCCGCCCCCCAGGGGCTGTCACCTGCTCTCCATCTGTGAGTCTGTCCCCATTTTCCTTGTTAGTTCAGGTCGTTCGATTCCACGTATGAGTGACATCATATGGTACTTGTCTTTCTCTGAGAAACATTTTTTCTTTCACTTATTCGGTGTTTATCACCTGCTAACGCGGGTTAGAGAGGTACCGCAGTCACAGGTAAGAGAGAGAGGCAGCCGCGGCAGGGAGGGAGGGCCCGCCACCGCCGCGCATTCCAGGCGCAGGCAGGAGGCTGGTGGGTGAAGCGGCCCTGGGCTGGGGCTGAACCGAGTTTCCTAAATGAATGTGCTTAAGTGACAGACGTCTCAACTTTCCCTTACCCCGAAGTTTCTTCCCTCGCTCTTTTTCAGGCGCCCTCAGTCCGCAAGGCCTCAGACTCGCTCCCCTGGCAAGCGCGGGGGCTCACTGGTGGGTGCTGCCCTGCCCAGCCAGGCCTCAGTTCTTCTCTGGGAGCGAGTGGACTCAGTGGCACCCTGTCCCCGACGCCACTCCCACGGCAGACCTGCCGGGGCCTGCAGGCCTCCTCTCCACGGCCCGGTCTGAAGATTTCTGCCCAACAGCCCATGTTTCGCCACCCTGGCCTCACACGCACGCTGCAAACCCACAGTTCATATCCTGTGGCAGACGCCAGCTCACATTAGCCATCGAATGCAAATGAGCCTCCATCAAAGAAGAAGGGAAACTAATGTGCTGAGGGTGGCCTTGGCGGCGCCATGCCTCTCTTGGTTGCCGTTGCCCCTGGCACCTGGTATTTCATGTGGGCAGGCTGAAACTGGCTGTGGTCAGGGTGAGACTTGAAGCTTTTGATTTGTTCCCTTGTTTTGAAGGGTTAAAAAGATATTGCATGTTTGGGTAGGATTTTAGTAGGAGTATTAATTGTCATCACGTCCGTGTGAGGCAGGGCGAAAAGCGCTCATTCACGGCAAGGAGACCCACATCCCCGCGGAGGACCCGTCTTCAAAAGGCGTCCACGCTTCACGCCGCTCTTCTTCCCTGGAGTTTTTCCAAATGGCAGCTTTACTGGGATGCGGCTCAGTTCAGTGGTTTTTAGTGTTAGCAGCGCGACTGCCTGTGGGAACACGCACTCCTCCCCCAGAAACCCGCGCCCTGAGCGGATCCTCCCCGCGCCGCAGCCCTCCCGGCCCGGCCCCTCCACGCTCTGTCTGTGGACTTGCCTCCTGGTCATTCATATAAATGGCAGCACGTCCACGAGGCCTTTCGCGTCTGGCTTCCCAGTGTAATGTGTTCGGGTTCATCCGTGTGGTGACCTGTGTCAGCATTTCATTGCTTTTTATCACCAAGTAACATTTCGTGGGGCGGCTGTGCCCCGTGGTGTCTGTCCAGCCCTGCACGCGTCCCCCTTTGTGCCGTCCTGAGGGCTGCTGAGAGCGTCTGGGGGGGGGCTCCGTGCTCAGGGCTCCTGGGTGGGCTCCGGGGGCTGCGCCTTCCTCCTTGGCTCGCCGGCAGTGTCTGAGAAGCCCGGTTGCCACGTCTTCGCCAACATTTCTCATCATCTTTTTTTTCTTTTTAATTTTTAGGAGCTCTGTATCTGGAGTGTGTGGCCCACACAGATTTACAATGGGAAGCTGACACCTTGCTCTCACCGTTCTCAGTCCAAGTCCCATCCCCAACACACCTCCTTCCCTGTTCAGTGTTTTGTTTTTTGTTTTAGTTTTTCTGGTGGCTACCATCACTATGCCAAAGATCTCTTGATTCACTCACTGTCGGGTTTTTTTCACTTTTTATTATAAAACCTTTCAAGTGTCCAAGGCAGAGCAGGACAGTCACCCCCTGTGGGCCCACCCCCTGTACCACAGCCAGCTCACTACCTACCCGTCTTGCCAGCTGTTTTTCGACTTATCAACTTTGGATACTGTGTGTTGATTTCCCTGTTGGAAAACGAGGGTTTACCTCATTAATTTGTCCCTTCCAAATGTTTCATAGCAAATTATTTTTAGATCTTCTCTTACCTTTGTAATTTTGAACACACACTTAAATCTCTGGTTCTGATCACGTCAACCTCAGGCGGTGCGCTGACGGCCCCCTCTTGGAGGGAGCTGGGGGCGCCAGCCCCGCTCGCCAGCCGGTCAGCTGCTTGACCTCGCGGCCGGTTTCAGCTGCACCTCGGGAATGTCGGGCTGGTCACATCAGCAGTCTGTTCCGTCATAATTCTCCGGTGCTTTGACTGCTGGCCCGCAGGCTGGAGCATCAAGCGCATTTACATGGGTAGGACTTTAAATCTCGTTCCCCGCAGAGCCGAGCACCCGGCAGGCACGTTCTGCATTCAGATCGGTTTGCTAGTCCCTAGTCTCCTGGACGCACTCTGCAGGCTTCTCTCTCACCACTTCTGTCTCAGGTGGGACTTGTCCTCTTTCATCCTTCTGGGCGTCCTGTCCCCAGCTGGAGAGAGGACAGCCATCTCCCCTTGCTGACTTGCACACTGGTTTCTCAGTAAATAAAACTGGTCTCCCCAAAGGTTGTCAAGGAAAGTGCCAGCGCTAGTGAAGCAACATCATGCCATCTGGTTCTACATATATTTTATTTTATGATGAGCTATAAATATATAAATAGTTTTAAAATAAGGCCATTAAAAACTCATAAATTAAAACATTCAGCTTCAACCCCTGGCGTATTTCTCTTGCATGATCCTCCTTAGCCTCTCCAGGAAGTCCTTCAGTGCACTCTTCCTGACTCCGTCTGTGGGACACGTGTTCTGCGAAGGAAACAGCTCGTTAGCTCGTGCAGCCGAATATTTGGCTCCCGCCCTCGTGCCTGTCTACTTGAGACAAGCCCACTCTGGCGTTCGCACCCGAACAATGATCAAAGCTGGGCCTCGGGCCAGCTTGCCCCGAATCTGACTCTGCCCCGGCCCAGCCGGCTTCGCCTGCTTTCTGTGCATAGCGCCGACTCTCCTAGAAATGGTTCCTGTACCCCCTCTCAGTGCTGCCTTTGGGGGTGTCACTGTGTGAGAAAGGTGTGTCCACACTGCTAGGTACAGCTCAGGGCCGCAGCACGAAGGTGGAGGTTGAGACCTGCTGTCCACTAAAGTAGCAGCACCAGGGCTGGACTCGTTTGGCAGGAGGGGTCCCAGGTCCCGCCGCCAGTCCACTGCTTCGGTTCAGCTCGTAACTCTGGACAGACCACTACATTTATAAAACACTTCCGCTCGCTCTTTGTAAAATGGGAACAACAGTGTGGATTTTATAAGACAATTAAGAGGATTAAAAGAGAACGAGTGTGATGCCAGGTCCCTATCCTGTTACCTCATCACATAGACAGTTAAGGAGGCAGGCCCGGGGAGGGGAGGGAGGTCCCCAGCTCCTCTCCTGGACGTTACGTGGCTTCCACTCCGGCTGTCCCTCCTCCTGCACTGCCGGCTCTCCCCGGCCCCTGGGCTTTTCCCGCTGGTCCACAAGCATGCTGAGTGTGTACCCCATCTTCAAAGAGCCCCCGTCCTTCCACACCTGCCCGTCAACTGCTGGCCCACCCCGCTGCCGCCTTATATAGCAAAACCCCTCCTGGGGTTTTCCGTGCTCGCTGCCCTCCTGTCCCTTCCTCCTGTTCCTGCATCTCCTGTGTCGGCCTCTGCAGTGCCCTCTGCCACACCAGGTCCAGGGGCCGCCTCTTCATCTTACCCGACCTTCCAGGACACTGGACACACCTCGCCATTCCCTCCTTAAAAGCATCGTCACTTGCCTTCTGGGCACCACACACTCTTCAGCTTCCTAACACCTTCCTGCTGCCCCTCAGTCTCTTGCTGGACCCTGTACCTGACCTCTGGCTGCCAGCGCCTGCGGGCCCAGCATGTGATCCCCCCCCACACACACCCCTGCCTTTCAGGTCCCGCCTTTGACACCTCTGTGAGGACTCCTCCTTTCATACCACAGGCTCTGACCCCTCCCCTGGGCTTCAGACTTTTCCAGCAGTCTCAGCGTCTCCACTCGGCTGCCAGCACGCGCGGCAGACTTAGTCTGCAGAGAACTAAGCTCCTGGCCTTGCTTTGCCGCTGGTCTTCCATGTACGTCCTCACCAGCCACCTGCCAGGGGCTCAGGCTTGGGACCCGGTCACCTTGCACTCATGCCCGCACCCCCCGCACTCTGGATGGGTCACCTCGTCCTTCTGGCTGTTTTTGTTACACCCCACATCTAACAGCCTCTACCACTCCCGCTTTCAAAGCCACCGCCACCTTCCTCCTGGGGCGCTGCAGTGGCCTCCAGTGGGCCGCCTGGCTTCGGGGCTGACCCTCCTGCCTCCTCTTTCCCTCCCAGCAGCCAGAGTGAGCGTTTGAATCCCCAAACCCTGTCGCATCCTGTGCCTTGCTCAAAACCCTGCAGGTGCCTCCCAGCACAGCTGGGGCAGAAGCCAAAGGCCCAGTGGGAGGGGACGTCCTGCTGAGCCCCCTTGCTCACCGTGCTCCAGCCTCATCCTCATCTCCGAACACAGGGGCCGTTTCCACCTGAGGGCCTTTGCACAGCTGTCCCCCGGGGAGGCCTGATCCCTCACTTAACGTAAACATTTTCTCAGTATCACCAGCTCCTAAGTGAGCCCTTTTCCTTCCTCCTCCCCCCGCACACTCTTTATTGCTCTGTTTTCCTGCCCAGCACTAACCACTGTGGGACATTACAGGATGACGAGTCAGTCTGCTTTTCTGCCTGCCCGGCCCAGAACCTCCTGTCAGACGGGGACTCCGCCTTCCTCCCTTGAACACTGTGCCCCCAGGGCCCTGGCACGCCTGGGCCTCCACAGGCACGTGTCGGCTGAGTGCGAGTTGGTTAAGATGGGACCACCACTTGTAAGGAGGGACAGTGAGATGTGAGGGCGCCGTGGGGAGCCGCCGCGGGCGCGGTGCAGCTCACCTGGCCGGCCAGGCCGCTGAGACTCCTGTCGAGTCTGCTCAGGAACCTCCTGGATGCGCACTTGTGGTGCCTGTACAGCTGCCGCAGCGCCGTCGCCGCCCTGCAGAAGGTCTCCCGCTCGGTTGTGTTCTAGAAAGAGAAACGCCAGTGTTACCTACCAGCGCTGTTTTGAACCTGGAGAGAGAGCTTCCCTTCTGGTTTCTTTTTTCTGGGAAGACAGGCGGTGACGGTAAGTTAGCTCAGCTGGGGCTCAGGTGTCCCAGATGCCTGCCGTGGGAGCGAATCCCAGCCGCCGGCCTCAGCCAGAGACCGGTAAGCCAGCCCCCCAGGGGCCTGCAAATGCAGCAGTGTTTTCTCAGGAGCTCCTGGTTTCCTTTCAGGGCGCTTTGCTGAGCTGCCAAGTCACAGAGCGGTGATCTGAAAAGGCAGACCCACCTCTCCGGGCCCAGGGCTGTTTCTTTACTAGACACAGCTGTTCTCTGTGTGGACGGCGCCTCATTCCAATCAGGTTTTAAAGTCCAGGTTTCCCTCCTTAGTAACTGGATGCCCCTTTGGCCTGGACAGGGCTGCCTTGGGCCACGCCTCCCACTTAGCCATCCCTAAGGGAGATAGTGGTTTATGCAGAAACTCAGTGTCCAGGTGAGGGCATAAGACATTTCCCCACAGTGAGGTCAGGGTCAGGGTGAGGTGCCCCAGAAGTCTGGCCTCGGGACACCAGGGACACTCCCGAGAGAGTGTGCTATTGAGCTGGGCCTTGTCAGGGGCCTTGGACCGTGAATGTGTGCGATCAGAGCCTCCTTGGAGTGCTGGGAGCTCCGGATGGGGGTCTGGCCACCTGCCTCTTCCTGGGGATGTTTGAGCCTTAGAGGAGGGAATGTCCAGGCAGGGGAACTGTTCTTAGAGGGATGGTGTCTCGGCCTGAATCGGGCCTGGTGCGAGACACCGAGTCACAGAGCCTGGAGGGTGGCTTGCCTGAGTCCCATCCAGCTCAGATGGCTCTCTCTGGCCCCTGCTCAGACGTGCTCTGGTTCCTCGCCACCCACAGTGTGGCCCCGGGGCACAGCAGCACAGACATCTCGTGGGAGCTGGTTAGAAGTGCCGAGTCTCAGGCCCCACCCGCACCCCTCACCGAATCATAAATGTACGTTAACAATGGGTCCAGGGGATTTTTATAGCAGAAGCACTGTCCAAGCAGCTTAGTTACATATTTTTTCTCATTACCAAAGCAATATAAGTTTACTACAAAAATCATATATATCCAACAAAAATGAATTCACTCATTATCCCACCAGCCACAGATAACTACTGTTAATATTTTGGTATCTTCCAGAGGTTTTAAAAATACTTGTTTCAAAATAGGGACCAGCTATTGGTGCTGCTTTGTAACTTTTTACACTTAACACATAGCACAAGCATTTCCTTACATCCTTCAAAAGCGTTCGAACACGGAATCGAGACCTCTGCAGGGGTGCGTGGCATGTTCGTACCCTAATCGATCAGCACCTATTGCTGCAGGTTTTTGCCTCCGTCAGTGACGCCTGTGTAAATCTTTGTGTTCACCTCTTATTTCTTCAGGCTACTTTCCAGAAGCCCCAGAATCCCTAACTACAATAGCTCCCCGCATCCCCTGCAGGGGGATGGACCCTGAGAGGGTGGGCACGACCCCTGACAGGGCATGCATTTAACAAACTGGTTGGAGCCCCCTCCTGGGCCCTGATTCCAGTTGGAAGTTGCAGAGCAACACCAGTATCTCTAGGCTCAGGGAGCCAAGAGCCTCCCATGAATCAGGGGGCTTTGTGAGCAGGCGTGGCGGGCTGCCTGCGGATGCACCTGAGGCAGACCCTCTGAGGCTGTGGAGGGAAGAGTGAGGTTCGAGAGCCAAAAGGAGAAGAGTCCTTTTGCTTATTTTCCGATCAAAACCTAGTGAGACTTCTGAGAAACTGGCTTGGAGCCTAGAAATTAAACTGCCTCTTAGTTTTGCATATGTGGCCATGTGTTACAGGAAAGCCCTCCAAAGATATTTGTTAAAGGGTAGTTTGGATAAAATAGGAATTGAAAAGCATTTGAATCAAGTGGAAAAACCTTAAAAATACCTAATTCTAAAGGCCGTTTTAACTAAGGGCCTTAACGTCTTAGTTCCATCAGTATGGCGGCAACAGGGAGGTGCCCGGTGGGCACTGGGTGCTCGCAGCCGCCTGCCCAGCTCCCTCTGCCCGAGGGTGCCCAGCACAGCTCAGGGGCAGGGGCACGCCTCCACGGCCCTGTGGACCGCACAGGCCAGAGCTGCCCCCGAAAGGAGGCTGCTAGGGGAGGCCCAGACTCGTGCCAGGAGCACTCCGTCTGCGTGGGAGCGTCAGAAGGCGCAGCGCTGTCCAGGAGGCTGCTGCTGTGGCAGAGACTTGGGGGAGCTCTGACCTGGTTTGTGACTGGCTTCAGGGAGCGTCCTAGAGACTCCCTCATTTCCACTTCTGCCCAAAATTAGTCAGCCAGTTCTGTGCATGAGAAAATCCTTTACTTTCACTTTTAAAAAATGGAGGGTTGACATAGAGCTTTCTGAAAAATCACAAACCTTAGCTCTCTCTGGCAGGAGATGCCTCCAGCTCATCACTCGCCCAGGAAACCCATCAGAGACCAGCCAGCCTCCGCACTCTGCTTCTCTGCACCCAGGTTTTATCTTCCGCCCAGAACGGTATCGTCTTACAATTGCACTTCCCACCAGCTCAAGAGCCGGACTCCAACCTGCCTTCAGCATCACTTTCATTTCCTCAGATGTGGAAACTGAGGCACAAAGAGCTGTGCTGACTCGCTGAAGGCCACACAGCTAGTTCATGGCAGAACCAGGGCTGAAACCACAGACTGGATCTCATTCAGGCCCCTGCTCTTCCTCCAGGCCTTGCCCTTGGCCTTGGTCGGGCCCTCTGGAGATCCAGCACACAAGGCTGTGGACTCTTGTCTATTATATATATATATGTGTGTGTGTATATGTGTGTATGTGTGTATATATATATAAAGTATTAGTACATCACATTAACATACATGATTGTATATGTATATAAAATCTCCAAGTTCTTCTAACCTATGAATAGACAGAGTCTGATACATAATGAGATTCCGAAGGACAAAATTCTATAGTATATATTCTTATATATGGGACATTTATTTTATGTAATATTGTATAGAATTATATTACACTGTTACCTATTCTTGTATATCAGGATCCTGAAATAATCGTCAGTGAAGTGAGGCATCCAGGTAAAGGCCCGAAGAAGAGTTTTTCTCAAGAAGTAGGACGGGCCTGGCTGGGACCCAGGTGCTGGGGTGTGGCCCTGCCCAGCCCATGGGGCTTCACTCCTGGCCAAGCCACCCCCTTGGTGCACGTGGAAAGCAGGTGGTTAGGAGACCACTGGCACATTGAAGCTTTGGGTTTTTCACTCTCAGTTGTGTGTTTCCATGAAAACAGGAACTGATGTGCACGAAGCCATCGATATATCTGCAGTCTGCAGCCGTGTGTTTGTCAGAGAAAACGCACTATCAGCTGTCAAATCTGTCTCCTCCCACTGCAGATGGAGGGGCGGGGGTGAGACTCGCAGGAGGTGGGAAGGTGAGATGCCCGAGCAGCCAGAAGCAGGGATGAGTTGGACCTTGTCTGGCAGGAGGCTCTGGACCAGGCTGGAGGGGCGCCGGCAGGACAGAGCCAGCCGAGGGTCTGTGAACAGCCGCCCCGGAGCCGGCGGGCCCTCAGCTGACCAGGCTGCGGAAGAGGAGGGGCTCTGGCAATACCCTCTCTGTAGCCATAGGAAGTCTCTTAGACAAAATGAAAGCTCCCTCAACCTGTAATCTCAATATCTGTTTTTGTGAGAGCATTTGGTTTTTCGGAAATGTACGGGCCAGAAAACTCTCTCCTTCAACAAGCGTTTACCGAGTGCCTCCTATATTCCAGGCACTGGGCCAGGAATACAGAGCTAGAGAGCTCTTCCTCGGCCGGGAGGTGAAGCCGGATCACAGAATCCAAGCTTTCTACTCCACATCTTCTACGTCAAGCGCAACCAGATACACCAACACATGTTTTGAGAGTAAAGGTCAGAATTCGCATTCTTTGAAAACATGTAACACCTTATAGCTAAGTCCGGCCTGTTCGCTTTCTGTTCAGAAAGTTTCTTGTTCAAACACTTGTGGATGCCTGCCCTGTCCCGAGTCACCCAGCTGCCAGGCAGACCACCCCAACCGGGCTTACCTTTGGGGCAGCCAAGACGTCGGCTACGGGCAGCTCCATGCACCGTGGGTCCTTGGCCCGGCAGGAACGAGAGACAAGAGACAGAGTCACTTCCAACTGCACAGAATAACTTTTGCCTGGCAGCCCCCACTCCCTCAAACTGAAGAAACTTCCTCCAGCCCCTCAGCGGGGGGAGAGGGGGCGGGCAGGGAAGCACCGAGGGACAGGTTTCCCATCAACACCTCCCAGGGACCACCTCATGTCCGACAAAGACCCGCAGCCTTGCCACACATGGACAGCCGGTGCCAGAGAGCCTACTCACCTTTCTCGCTGTGAGGATGTTCAGCGTCTTGATGGTCTCTTCTAAGGTGAGGTTGGGCTTGCGTCCGTGGACGAAGTTGCTGCTACAGGCTAGTAAGCAGACCAGAGCTGGGATCAGGTGGGTGGGGAGACCCATGGACAGATCTCTCCTCGCAATGACAACGCGAGGTGATGAGTTTGCCAGGAGAAGCTAACAGTGCAATTCTGACAACAATATCTCTATATATAGATTTAAAATTGCTGAAACCAAGGGAAAATGAGTTTACATTGGAAATTTTCATTACACCAGGTTGGGGCCAATCAGCACCTCTCTTCCAGGAGAAAAAATATGCCTCACAGAAACAGGTAAAATGTTCCTGTGAAATCAGACCAATAGGAAAATGAAACCTTTTTTTTTAAATTAACTACAAAGTATCAGCATAGGAAATTACACCATAATATGCTCTTTAGATTAATCTTATCAGCTTGGGGTTGTTGCTAGCTTGTTGCTTTGCAGGAAGAGGCCACAGGTGTCCGAATTTGTTGTAGCGCAATCCTCCTGGGGAAAGATAGAGTAATATCAAGAAAGCCTGACTTGAATGGTATTTTAACCTGGCTTTTTCCAAGTATGGGTGGCATCTTGGAAACTTCTTTTGTGGAAAAGGTGATCTGGGGCTCTGTCTGGGTGGAAGGCCAGCAGCAAGCACAGGTCTCCTGGCCGAGCACTCGCGCGCCGTTCTCCCGGGTGAGGGCAGGGGGCGCCCTGTGGGGAGGGGGGCTCCGTTCTGGTCCCAGCAGGTGCGAGGGTCCCCAAAAGGAAGGGGGCGCTAGGCACATTAGGTGCGTCCTGAGGCTTCAGGAATGAAATTTAAATACATCTTTGGCTAAAAGAGCCACCACCGTACTGATTTACCAATCAGATGACTTTGTTAATGGCTACCACCCACCTGCTGCTGTAGCCCAGGACCCGGGGAGGTGCCCAGCACTCCTCGGTCACACACGTGCAGCAGGGTGGTCATGCTTCTGCGCGCCACGCTTGTCCCCCCAGCCCAAACCTCTCCTTTCCTTCCCTCTCTACTTCCCTTGTTCCAACCCTCCTCTCCCTCCGGGAGTCACAAAGGGGAGATGACTGTGTAGGTTGTTCCTGCACTTCGGACCTTATTACAAGGGCCAGCGCCCTGTGAAGGACACAGGGCCTGGGCGACTGGGGCAGGAAGGTGCTTCCATCGTATTGAGGGTGCTTCCACCCAGACTGGGCCACACGCTTGCCCAGCTCAAGGCCGTGACCGCTCCCGCCAGCCGCGTGGAGGTGGGCGCCCTACCCGGGGTTAAGGGCGGAGCCTCCACCACCCTGCCCTCCCTTTCCACGCCAGCTGCAGGTGTGCGGGTCTCCACCCACTCTCACCTTGGGCTGACTGGCTACAAATTCCAGAGTCCGCACGATCCCCTCAGGTTCAGTAATTGGCTCAGAACTCAGGAAAGCGCCGCACATTTTCATTACAGCGGAGGAGGCCAATCAGACACAGTAGGATGGTGAGGTCCACGGGGCTCCCAACGGGAAGCTGCCGCCCTCCCCTCCCTGCGGAGTGAGAACGTGCCCCTCCCCGGCACCTGGACGCACGCGAAGCGCTTCTGAGCCGGCAGCTCACCCCGGCGCCCACGCGCGGTGTCACGGGGCGGCCCTCCATGGGCAGGCTGCTGGAGTGGCTGGCCACTCCGCTGACCTTCTGCTGGGCCCCCGCCCGAGAGAGAGGGTGGGCAGATACCACAGCAGCTTAACGGTGTGGTGACCACCCACCCCTGCCTCTCCCCACCCCGTCTTCAGTAGCCTCATTAGCATAAATTAGAGGTTATTGTGCAAGAGCAGGCATAAAGGTCAGATTTGGGAGTTAAGTTTATTGTTTTTTTTTAAATACAGATATTTCTCTTTCTCTCCAGTTTTATTGAGATATAATTGTATATAGCACTGTTTAAGTTTAAAGTATATGTAGCACAATATTTGACTCACATATATTGTGAAATGATTATATCACAATATATGTGATAGGGGTGGTTGCAGGTTCGATTCCCAGTCAGGGCACATGCCTGGGTTGTGGGCCAGGTGCCCAGTAGGGGGCGTGTGAGAGGCAGCCACACAGTGATGTTTCTCTCGGTCTCTTCCTCCCTTCCCTCCTCTCTAAAAAAAAATAATTATAAAATCTTTTAAAAATTAAAAAATGTGTTTTTCCTTGTGATGAGGAGGACCGGAGACTCTACTCTCTTAGCAACTCCCAAATACACCACACAGTGGTGTCACCGACAGTCACCCGTCCCTGACGTCCAGCGCTTTATGTGACAACTGGAAGTGTGTGCTGTGTGACCACCTCCGCCCCCCAGCCCTCTCCTCCGGTCCCCGCAAATCCGATCTCTGTTTTCTGTGAGTTTGGTTGGGTTGCTTGTTGGTAGGTCCCGACACAGGAGTGCTTATGGTCTTTGTCTTTCCCTGTCTGACGTCTGGCTGCGCACAGCGCCCTCGGGGCCTGTCCCTGTTGTCACCAATGGCTGGATTTCCCCCCTTTGTATGGCTGAGTCACATGTTCTATTGTGTGTGTGTGTGTGACATTTTCTTTATCCACGCGTCCATCAATGGACACGGAGGTCGTTTCCATGTCTTAGCCGTTGTAAATCATGCGTCAGGGAACAGGGGGGCATGGGTAGCTCTTCAAGTTAGGGTTTGTGTTTCCATTGGATAACTAGCCAGACGTGAAATCGTTGCATCGCAAGGCAGTTCCATTTTTAGTTTTGGGGGAACCTCCACACAGTTTCCACAGTGGCTGCACCAGTGATGTTCCCAGCAACAGTGCTCCAGGGTCCCCTCTCTCCTCGTCATTGCCAGCACTTGTCGTCTCCTGTCTTTTTAAGGGTGGGCATTCCGACAGGTGTGAGACGGTGTCTCGGCGTGGCCTGGACCTGCACTTCCCGTGACTAGTGACGTGGAGCACCTTTCCACGTACCGCTTGGCCATTCCTGTACCTTCCACGGAAAAATGTCTGCTCGGGTCTTTTCCCATCTTTAAATGGGATGGTTTGGTTTTCACTAGGGTAAGTTAATCCTTCACTACACAGACAAGTGGAATTTGTGAGACAGGCAGAGGGTTCCTTCCAGTGTAGGTGGAGACTTCAAGTCATAGGAACTATTATTTGGAGTAAAATGGCACATGCTCCTTTGTTGAGGAAAGGTTCAAGTTAAAACAGGGTGAACTTGGGAGAGCAGACGCCGGAGGAGATCTGGGCTGCAAGCACACCTCTCAGAGCTGAGAGCGGCCAGTGCGCATTCAGGGGTGGCTTTTGGGGGCGCCTGACCTCTCTGCGGGCCGGACCGGGCGTGTGGCTCTGGGGGCAAACGTGTGGGGCAGGAAAGGAATAGAACTTCTTTGTGGTTCTTCAGTGGTGGATGAGGCCAGGGAAACTAGGATGAACTTTCCAGAACATCAAGGAGTGGCCAGAGGTCCCCTGGAGGGGAAGCAGAAATCAGGCTGCGGTGCACGTGGCTACCTGGGCGGAGGCGGCCTGGAGGGGCCTGCAGGTCAGGGAGGGACTCAGCCTGCAGGAGGGCGCTGCTGGGCCCACACCCTCTTCCCTGAGCCCTCTGAGAGAGCCGACCCCCAGCCCTGGCCCCTCTGTGGCCTCAGAACTTTCCTTTCAGCCCGAATCAAACCAGCTATAAGCACTGGGTTAGAGTTTAGCAAACAGGGCACTTGTCGGCCCTGTGCTCACTGACCCTGTGCGGGTCAGTTTCCTTACCTGTGAAATGGGAAGTGCTGGCTCTCAGCACTCCATGCAGGGTGTGACTGGTGGCCAGCACTGCACGTGGTGGCCCAGGCAGCCTGTTGGTGCTGGCAGGCACCACGCAGCCCCTCTGTGAAGTGAGGGTGATAGCTGTCCCTGCCTCGTGAGGTTGTTCTGGGGGAAAAAGCAGTGTTCCTGAAGCAGTCAGAGTGGCGCCTGGTGCACAGCGAGGCTCTGTACGCGAGAGCACCACCGCCATCGCCAGCATGGCCATCATCACTGGTCCTGTGTTCTCTTGGTCCAGTGACTGTGGTGCCAACTGTCTCAGAAACCTGAGTCTGGACGGGGCCGTGCAAGTTTTGCTGGTGGACACATCCCCACATGTGGCCCTCCTGGATGAGTCCCCGATTTTAGGCCCTGTCCTTGTCCCTGGGAGTCACCCGTGGTTGCTGCACTGCAGCCCTTGCACCGACGTGTCTGGACTCGGAAGTCCAGGTGGTGCAGAAGGAGGTGCTGCTGAGAGCCCTTTAGGCAGGAAGGACTTGGTGCAGGAGAGTGGCCGAGGGTGAGACGGTGGGGGAGCGGGCTCCGGGCTGGGTCCCAGCCTCTGAAGAAACGACCCAGAGGAAGGACCACTACCCTAGGAGCTGCCATGGCAGGGCTGAAGTTCAAGAACGCAGCCCCGAGGCTACAGTCCAGGGACCCCAGAACTGTTTCCTCACTGCCTCTCCACACCCCAAACCAGCTCAGGAGTAAACGGCCCCCACCCCACACACGGGAGCTAGAAGATGGTGTCTGCCTGTCCACTCACCTGCCTCTCGAAGCTCGCTGGGGAGCAGTTCAGACCCCGACTTGAACTTGGGGTGGGGGTCAGGGGTCAGAGGACTGAACCATAAGCCCTTAAGGGCAAAGGCAGGGAGCTTGAGCAGAGTGGCCCAGCCTCTCCTGGCCCCTGGTGGACGATTCTTGTTCCCCTGCCGCCCCCCCCCCCCGGACCTTTGTATCTTCTTCCCTCTGTCAGCTGAGCAGGACAGGATGCAGAAGAGCCCAGAGTCCTCCGAAGGAGCGACATCAGTCAGCAGAGATGACGGGGTGGGCTCTGGCCAGGTAGCAGGGGACAGCGAAGGCGGGCAGGGCCTGCAGGAGAACTGGGGGGGGGGGGCAGAGGAGGGGGGATGCCGGGGCACCGGAGCGGGGCCGCGGGGCTGAGGTGCAGGCAGCAGCAGAGCATGCATGCGTGTGTCCTGGGGCCTAGGGGCCCTGGTAGCTCTGAGCCCCAGCTCTGCCCCTCGCTCTGGGTGACCTTGGAAACGTCGCCCTGTCCAGGCTCTCTGTCAACTGGGCTAATCAATGACAGGGCTGTGGGAAGATCACACAAGGTAATAAATACAGTGTTTGGTGTGGTGCCTGGCACGTCAAAAGCC